TTCTTGTCATGTACAAGCAGGGAATCAAAACCATGCCACTTGACCCAATGACAGACCTTAAGATACAACATGCACGCATTAGCCATTCGCCCCCCCCCCCCCTATTGGAAGCAGACATTAAACCCCATGAACAACAAACAATATAAAACGTTGGCAATAATAACATCTCAAACAGTTGGGTCCACTGTTTGACATACTCCACATCTATAACATAATGGTGTCTATTTGTAACACCACATGGTCTCATTCACACCATTTTAATCAATTCAATCCTGATCAAATTATCAGCTTAACCCCTTTAATTCTTAACATGTGTTAATGTTATATTATATTATTGTTATACCAATCAATATCTAATTAGTAGTAGATACATATGTTGGTCATAAAATCATACTTGGTTGCAACCCCCATTTGCAAATCAGATTTGTAACCCTACAAAGTCAGATCAGTCTCTTATCTCCAAAGTTAATAAATATACTGCCTACTAATAGAATTCAAACTGCCAAGGATTCTTTACGTGCAAGCCAATATATATATATATACCTAGGTTTACCCTCCCATCCGAATGACTATATGTTTTCAATTATGTAGGTACAATTTCAAAAATATGTACTATTTTAAAGTAAAGACCTAAGTTTAATTATGTAATTAACAACAAGAGTATAAAAAAATTCCCCAAAAAACCTGCAAGATAAGGGCTGTTATTTAGCTCCTTTAAACTTCTGGTATGTTGGATCTTTAATATAAGGGTGAAAGGAAAGTCAGAGCTATATTTGAATCACCTATCATTAATCAATTGAATACAACAATTAACAGTGATTAGGTCGTATTTCATAACAAAGTTTCTGTTTAGAATATGACACGAATAGTGTTCAATAGAATAGAATAGGCAGATAATGAAGGAGGGGGAGGGGTGGAGAGAACAGGGATGGAGACAACTGAGGTGTCAGTTTGTCTGGGAATAAACTTAATAATACAGGACATCCAACAACCATGTTTATATTTTACACTCAGAATGTTGTTATCAATATTAATATTTTCATTAGAAACAGGCTTGCATTAGAAATGGACTAGTATTTGTTATGAATGGTGATGGCCTTAATTATGTATTAAAAGATCGACACACACAGTAATGACTTGACTGAAGACTAAAATCAGCTGTTATTTACAAAAATCTAATATATATTCTGTTTGATAGATGTAACGGAATGATTATCGTCACCTGTCCCCTGTCCGTCTTACTTGTTTATATTATTTTATGAAAGAACGAATACATGTAAAACGTGGAACCTCTGCAGTCGTCGTGCATTCCTCTCTCAGACACAGACAGAGTAGGCCTACAGACATAATACAACACTGCCAACAACCAGTTGCAGCTGATACCAGACGAAATATTATTTTCCATTCCAGTACAGAAAATTTACCGTTACCTTCGTCTAACGCCCACATTATCGCGTCTCGACGTAACCTTACCTATCGTTTTATTGTTAATACTGCACTCTTGTGGCGATCTGCTTCGCTTGTTCCGAGAAATATCAACATTAATCAACCCACTTGCACCTCTTTTCAGATCCTTCGCCCCCGCGTCGGCCATGTTTTAAGTGTGACACACCCAACATCCGGGCAACTCCTTTGGCCCCACCCACTTTTCTCGGGGTGTCAGCGACATGACAGCTAGTCTCGAATAACGGTGAAGTTTTAACATTAGTTGAGAAATGGGAAACACAAAACTGGATGATTGGGTATCAACTGACTGACATGACCCAAGATAGACACGAAAAGAAGATAACAGTATTTCGGGAAAGTTTTATTAATTATAAAAAATCACGATTTATGTAATTCAACCACAAATAATTGTAAAAACATAAATAGATCTAGATTTTTCAGATTAAAAAAAAAAACAAACAAAAAAAAAAACCCCATAAAAAAGTCAGTTAAATAAAAGTTAGTTAAGAAGTGTCATATATATATGTTTTCCCCGTTTTTGTTACGGTACAGTTTTGGGAATATACAATTTTATAAAATGAAATTTCTTAGCATTTTAAAAAAAATGGCGTATTTCAGAAATTTAATGAAACCCCAATTCTTTGTGATTTTCCAAGAAAATTAGTGACTGGTATGAAGTTTTAAGTGGGTAATAACAAAAATCTCTATTTTACTTGCTGACTCCATCCTCAAACAAAATCTACTTTTATAAAAGAAGAGGTTATTATTAAAAAAACGATTTGCATTAGTGTAAAGTTTCCTCCAAAATATGAAGTGGTATAAGATGTTCTATAAAGAATAAGCATAGTCTACTATATGCTTCATATCCATTTGCAATCCCAGAATAGCCGTTATTATATGCACACAAAATGTTTTTTTTGTTTTGTTTATTTTTAACTTTAGGAAACAGACAAATTGGCGACTAAAAACATCATTGGTCTAACAATAAAACAAAATGCAACTGGGTTGCTGATATACTGGTAACCACATCAGAAGGGCTAAACGTGTGTCAAGGGAACCAACTCCACCTTGAGTGTCAATCACCTAAACGCAGACCACCAATAACAGCTAGTCACTTCTATTTATTGCCGTTCTCTCCTATGGAAAATCATTATTGTTGACTTTTTGGTCTAGTATCGAAGCTGAAGGTTCGTATTCACAGTCCCTGCCAGGTTTTGGTGCATATTCATGGCTTAGAGACAGAAGGATAATGGAACCATAAAAATTGTTATTGCTCAATTCCGGTTTTACTTAATATTTAGACATTTATTCACATCGCAAGATCATAATCAACAATCTAGGTCATAGGATGATTTAGATAATGAATGAATTAGACTACATTTGTCACTTAATAATTTATTGATAAAGTGGATAATCAAGACTATGTTTATTATTGTAGCAATGATACTTGACAACCGAGCTGCTCTTGTCAAAACTTCAAACAATCATAACTTCACTCAAGTAATTTGACTGAAATTTTCAATATATTCATTTTTCATTATCTATTTTTGAACATCTGCTAATTAATGACTACTGACTTAAATTTCTATACATATTAAACAATAGTTCAGAATAATGATCACTTGAATATTTTAATGATAAACAATGTCATCAATGGTATTAGGTAAACTGTGATATGGTTTGTAATTTAAATCTTGTCTGCCAGACACTTTATCTCAAATATCAAAACTATAACATGTCATTTGATGTCTAGAAATAGAAAATGAAATGGGGTTTAACGTCCTACTGTTTTACTCCAAACAAGGGAGAACCACGACGGAAAATCTGGATGGACTTTCTCGGCCAATGCAGGGATCGAACACCCGACCTCCACCGTGATCCCCCTCTAGAAATAGAGTTATTTCGACATGTTCTGATATTTTACATATTTAATACAATGTTGGTAACAGGTAGGTACAAAGTCATCTTATATTTCTACCCAAACAAATACATAAAGGTGAGCAATCTATTAGTCACACCTGGCTACCTATGATACTCAGGGCGGGTTAAGTGACAGACCTTGGAAGGCCCATCATCCTAGAAAATTTTTTAAATTACATCACCGCAGATGAGATTTAGAGCCCTTAGATGAATCAAAAGTGACACCGAGATTTCGCTGATTTTTTTCAGTGCAGTTTTCCAGTTAGAGTTTTGTCTGAGATTTCTCAAAGTGGGCCACTGGAATACAACTGAGTATCGTCAACAAAGAAATATAAGTTTGCATACCATACCCTGACATCGCCAAAAGGCAGTGTGTAAATTATGAATAGAATTGGACCGAGGACTGATCCTTCGGGAACCCCATATTGTACTATGTAGTACTGTTAGTTGGGATTTTGAACCCCCAACACACACTAATTATGATCTGCATGTTAAACCCCTGCACTTGGTGGATATTAACTGGTTTGATATATACTATTGTAATATGTATTTTATTTTTTAGTGACACCACTTCCCATTACTAAAATGTTGATATTTGGAGATATAGTTTTTGGCTTTGTAATGATTGAAATCCTTAACTCCTAAAATCCTGATAGCTGCCATTATGACATATAAAAAGAAGACATCAGGCAGTGTGCCTAGAAGAACAGACAATGATCCCAGTGTTCAATCAGAAAATTCCAGTTCTCAATCCACAAGTCTTGATGAAGATCACACAGTCTCATCTCCTGCATATACCGAAATTATATAACTAAAGTATCATGTCACTCTTCAGTTTGATATATGTGTCAGACAAATAGAAATAATTAATATAATTATGTCCACATGGGCTTAGTTTTACCTATTATAATAGAAGTATTATATACGTTATATACATCTGTTGTAGTTTCAGACCGCCTACAGCAGTACAGTACATGTACTTACAGCTACAGGTAGGGCATGTAAATGTGGGGAATGGAGAGACCTTAACATCAGGGGCGGATCCAGAGAGGGGGTTTGGGGGGTCGAACACCCCCCTGCTCAGCTACAGAATTTTTTTTGTAAATCAACACTTTTTATGCGAAAAGTTTCTCGGCCGTGTGCTTTATCCTTTATCGTGAGATGTGGGACAGGATGGGCACTCAAAGCATAAGATAATGATATAGACATTATGTTTTATCGCAATTAATGCTTTGCATCCATGAAATTGAATCACAATGTCATTGTATTAATTCATAATAAAAATTGACGTCAAACAAGGAGTTGAATTTCTCTGTTTAAAAAGCTCAATGTGTATGTATATACGCCAAAATGACGATAGAGACCATGTGGGAGGGGGGGGGAGATACATTGTCTCAGGAACCTGGCAAACCCCTCCTGCAAAAATTCCTGGATCCGCCCCTGGACATAGTAACCAACTGGAGTTGATTTTTGACGAACATTGAACACTTTAAGAACTATGCCCCAACCGAAAAATTAGCAGGGGGTCCAAACTTCATTGACACCAACAGACAAGATAGGGAGAGGAGAATATGTTCACATCATATTCATTGTGTGTGCAAATTTTCATGAAGAATCAACAAGTTGGAATTCAATATTTTGTTTCTATATTATTTTATCAAACATAAAACAATGCTGGTCGGTTTCTTTTCATCTAACATGACATTAACAATTCTATTATAACAAAAATATTTCTACATAAATAATTATACATTCTGGGGCTTGATAGGTTAATAGTATCGAACTCAGTATTACCATAATCAATTACAGACTCCTAACCCAATATTATCATAATCAATTAATCACTCATAGCTTGATAAAATTATACATGTTGGGTCTGATATGATAATAAATGTAATATCTAAACTCAGTATTATATAATCAATTACACACTCATTGCTTGATAATATTATACATGTTGGGGTCTGATACAATAATAATATCTAACTCAGTATTACCATAATCAATTATAGACTCATTGCTTGATCACATTCCATAATTCACAACTTGAAAAAAATAGAGAGAATGAAACTATGACTGACCCTGTTACACACGGAATTTACAAGCAAAAAATAAAGATGTTAAAAAATGCATTTTATGACTTAACGCGGTAAAATAATCAACAGTCAAAATAAAAAATTAAAATAACTTAATGGCGTGGTATTTACAATTACATTAAACAATTGTTTTTATGGGATTTTTTGTTTAAATAATTAAAAAGAATAAAAAACATTAGTACTGAAAAGGAAAAATGTTACTTTTTGTGGAAGGAATTGTTGAAATTAGTTTCAGATTTTAATCTTACTTGATCTGTTATATTAAGAATGATTTGTCATTTCCAATCAGTCTGGCAGAGCTTTCAGCATGCAGCCGCATGCCATACCAATTCTGGTCACTGACATTTTGTCAGCAGCTCCAATCGTATGATGGGCATCATTATGCATGAAAATTTTTCATAGGCTGCATGGTGAATTTTTGTTAAGCATACCGTACTATAATTGGTTTAGACAAAACTAAACACTCTGGAATCCATCAAGGGCTTAAACAATCTGCATTTTAAAAGCACATATGATCTTTTGTCACCCAGATGAGGATTATATACCTAATGTATGGTCAGGGACTATAGACTATGGGCTGTATATTTTGACACTATGGTGGAATATTTATCCGTGATAGCAAATAATCTGTGCCACAATGTGGTGTGCATGCCTTTAAATGTCTAAAACAAAATTTTGGCACCAGCTCGTCTTAAGGAAGAACCAATTACAATCATTAAAATTTTGAATTAAATTAAAAGCCCAAACATTGCACATATACGTGATAAATGTACATGTAAGCATATACTAACTTCAGTAAATTCATTTAACATTTGGGGTAAAATACCTAATATAATAAAATGTATATCATGTATTATTAAAAAGGCAGGAATTAATTAACATGCCCCTAGAAACCTAATTCTAAAATTAGGTTGAATGACAAAATTCTAGCAATGGTATATTATATATTTCAAGTGTTTTCCATAGAATATTGTATTAGTTAAATACAATATAGCCATTCACAAAAAGACACATGCATTTTATGCATTAAGTTAACTAACCGTTATAATAAAGCAGGTACACAATCTCAGTATTACATATTTTTACACACAAATATTATAAGTTAGGCCAAATAAAAATAAAAAAATATGCTGGTTCTTGGATACTGCTGTGTCACCTTCTGTTTAATTACCACGTTTGTATTTCCCCGCAATAAAAGAGGAAGTAATCGGAAGTGTAACACAGCCTCAGTTATAAAGTACACAACCCTGATATTGAGAATCATAAATGACACAGGAGAATCATAAATGACACATAGTTATTAGGAAATGGCAACCATCTATACCAATCTGTTTCACAGAGGATTACGAAAGTATTCTAATATCTCTGTAACAGATGACTGTTTCAAACAAGTAACGTCACATCACGCGGCGTCAATCACTGGCTCAATGGCACGTGCATTGTTTACATAAGACGTTACTTATTCGGGCTAAATGGTGAATTTAACTTATTTTAATACTCATTTACACAATAGGAAATGATTTTTACCTACAAATACTTCAAACGTCTTTATTTTTCTAATACATGAAAAAAAATGTTTTAGAATTTAATTTGACGGAAGAAAAAAGTTAATATTTGGGACTCATTAAGTCACATCGATGGCATCCTTATCAGTGATTGTAGCGGCCTAGCGAATATTCACTGCTGGTCAGTGTGCATCTATACATGTAGTAATGAGAAAGAATGACTGATGGGCATGGAAGGAGTATTATTCACATTAGAACTACAAGATCAGTGCAACACAAGAATTAGTAATTTTATAAATAAAGAAAATTCCTGTAGACAGCATGAATCAACTGATGCCGAGATAGATGTCGAACCTTAAAATGTGATGTTTATGAGTCTGTGAGAAGTCATTTAGCTCAGTTATCTTTAGAAAATTTTAATATTCTTTGAGAACCAGAATATTTTTTTGTATGGCCTCAATAGTCTTTCACATTTTTTGGTATCTAATGAATTAACATATCACAGTTTATTCCTTTCCCTTTACATTTCCTTCTTCTTTTTCTTGGGTGTTTTATTCATCTTTTCCCAGTTTTCTGCTGTCCTTCTGTCGGCCTTTGTTACTGCACTAAAATCAAAATTCTGTAACCATGGCATCAGCGCCAGGATATGATGTCTGTATCCCTGAAAATTATGTTACAACTAAAGTAATGTAATCTCCCTTGTTGCGCATCTCTACATGTAGATGTCGCTGCCATTATTCTCAATTCTTGTTTCTACTAAAACTCAAGTACCCCTTTTGTACACCCAGCCTTTGAAATTGGAAGTTTCTACTCATTGCCAAAAGTCAGAAAATGATATGTCTAAAAAGCGTTGATTAGTGCTACAGGACCACAGCACTTCTTTATATTCAACATTCGTGAGTTTTCTTCGGGTCCTCCAGTTTCCTCCCACTGCTGAAAGACCACTATGCGCAAACGAATTATTGAGATAAAATTGAACCTATGTTAGTCCCGAAAGGACCTATTTTGAGCTGAGTGAATGTTAAACCCCATTTTATTGTTTTTCCACACCACAGAGTTCGCAAGATAACCTTCATTTGGTTGGTTATGTATGATGTGGTTCTTCTACACTTTACTGCAGTTTGATATACATGTATTTTTTTCAATAATTCTGTTGGACACAGTGGTCTTTGGAAGTTGGAGGAAACTACTAGAAGATGAGTACCAGCAAAGAAACACGATGTTGGGTAGGTGACCCTACTCCTTGTCCTATACAAACCTGGGTCAAACCTATGACTTGTATCACATGTAAGTAACCAGTCGAAGAGTTGTCAAGTTATTCGGATTTGTCCATTATTCTGTGGATTATTTTGCTTCTATTTTGTCAGGAAAACAGTAGTTTATCTTGGCACCGCCTTCAACATGCATTTATTGATGGAACTGGCATGATATAAATATACAATATTATTATTTACCTTAACATTTTCAACTGGATTGCCATGGAGAGTTAATTTACGTAAATTCTTTAATGACTGCAATTTTTCTACCTCCCCAATATTATTTATTTGGTTACCATGGAGATATAAAATCTCTAATCCTTCGAATTCACATACTATCTACAACATAGAAAACAAACAATATTCAATTAAAGAAATGAAAAGTGAAAAGAATCCAGTTGATGTAAATGTATTGTATAGTGACAGACTCAATAGAGAGAGAGAGAAATGGGGTTTAACATCCACTCAACACAAATTAGGTCATTTCGGGACTAGCACATGGTTCAATTTTATTTCAATAATTCGCTTGCGCATAGGGGTCTTTAGCAGTGGGGTCTTTAGCAGTTTCCTCCCACTGCTGAAGACCCCTACGCGCAAGCGAATTATTGAAGTAAAATTGAACCATGTGTTAGTCCCGAAATGACCTAGTTTGTGTCGAGTTGACGTTAAACCCCTTAAGGGCATGAAATACCATAAAGCCATGAAAATTCGAAACGCCCCATTTATTATATTCCATGAAACAAGAGGGAATAAAGAGAATAACTCACCTGATCTATACCAACTAACTCGTTAAATGATAAATCTAACCAACCAAGTACGGATGGATTATCAAACAAATTTGTACAAATTTCTGATAGAAGTTTAATATCCACTAATGCATTGTTATTTAGTCTTAAACATCGACTACCAGACTTGCCATCTTCTCTTACAGGTACGATTGCTTTTTTTTGTAGGACAGCTGGTCTAGGTGTTTCATCGTAAATATCTAGAACAGAAAAAATAATACATAAGGCCAAATGAAAAGAGTATTCTGGTTCTAAATTCATGCATCCCTGCAACACCTAAAAAGCCTCAATTAAATTATAAAGTCTGCAACCCAGATAAATGTTATTGACCATCATAAGTGAAACTGGATAATCCTAAATTTCTATGAGAGATCATAAATGTAAAACACTGAAATATGATGTTTGTGGGAAGTGATTTAGTCCACTGATTTTTGATGAAAAAAAAAAAAAAAATCTATAATTGCAATACTGGCTTCATAATATTGACATTGGGGGGGGGGGCAACTGTTTAAAGTCAGTAAAGTGAGTTCCTAAGTATCAAACTGTTGAACATGCCATACAGGCCAAACTATACTAAACTTATGCAGTCGGTCTACAATTAGTACAATTAGCTCTGCTTGCGAACAGACTCTAAACTAGTTGACCTACATATTAATTCCCAAATCAATGATTTTAGTCGTAAACAATAAGTATACTTCGCGAATTTTGAGAAGTACCAGTAGGCCTATCCAATATCCATTTAACATAAAATTGAAGAGATTCATTTAGTTTTTGTGTGAAATGGAGTTGAATCGCATGACAGATTAGTACGGTATACAAAATTTTTGGATATGGCGGCCATTCTGGTCAGAGATCTATTCTCAAAATAGTTTATAGTTTGTCAGTTTTCTGTATGCAGTATAACAAACCACTGTGGTCTAAGTGCATTTTACTTGAGTCATGAACAGTTCTTTGTGGGAAGCACTGTAAAATGACTTCAATCAATGAAGTAATCAATCAAATCATGCATGTTACGCTTGAGTTATCTCTGTGCAATACTGTAGATTAACTGTTCTCGTGAGATGTCATGAAACCTTACAAATAATTACATTAGATAATGTAACCTGATTGACACCCATCAGTAAATCTATTATTAGCACAAGCAGGATTTATCAATTTTACACCTCTATAGCTTCTCTAAGGATTATTGAATTATACCCAGACCATCATGGTGTGCCATTTAGCTTTTAACTATAATTGTAAGCTTATCTAAAGCCGTAAAAGATTTTAGCTCATTTGAATAACTGTCACAAATTCTGACTATTAGGCATTCACACAAATTTCATTATTGGAAAGAGTCAAAATCTAGTACAATTATCTAATAATAATAATAATAACAGGATTGAATGAAATGAGCTGACCCCCCAAACTGCACAATTTCTAAACACAGTTTACATTAAGATTGAATCCAAGATCAGGAAATAAACCCTCCCAGTGCTGGTAATAAAGTGATACAACTAGTTAGTACAGTATGGATTTGTTCATTTTGCCTCGATACAGTAGGCTACATTAGTGATTTCAAGGTAACCACAGACATTAACGACAGAACTATGGATTTAATAGATTTGATCGATTCGGGATATTAACGGAACCAGGAAGACATTAATCACAGAACTACAGCATGAATTTAATAGATGTATAATTAATTACCTGTTAGATTAGTGATTTTAAGGTAAGAATAATCTAAAGGTGGCAGACTCTCATTGTTCGAATCAATAGCACTACTAACAGGCAAAGTGGATTTCTTCTTGGCAACAACCAAACTAAAATATAAAGTTAAAACATAAAACATGTGTCATCTTACGAAAGGAATATATATATATTAACAAACAAGAGGTTGCCATGCAAGATACGCCCACATTTTGTATGAGATGGACAGAGAAAAACAAGCTAATATAATAATGTGATTTTCTGTACAATCAGGGGTCATAATCCAGGAAGTTTTGATCTGATACATGCCAATATCGGAAGGTAAACCTATATTTCAAGTTTCGTCAAAATCGGATAAGAATTGTGACCTGTAGAGTGTTCACAAACAAACTGTGGATGGACGGACAGGAGCGACGACAATATACGTCCACATGAAAATGTGATTTCTTCAGGTTTTGGTTACCTGTTTCTATTGATTGGAAGTTTCTCACATGACAATGTGGGTGTATAAAAATCATTAATTATAGTAATACTAGGATCCGAAATAAAAAATATGATGATAATTTTCGGCCAACTATGTAGATCGTAAAGTTGTAATGTGTCTACCTGCCGCCTGCACAATCTATTTTCATCTATTCTACCGTATTTTAATGTTTAGGCCCTACTATTTGAAATAGCCATTGATACGAATCAGAAGATCAATTACCGATAATATTTTTGTTTTTCATCCCCACACAGGTGGTAATATTCTGATAATAAAGATCAATCGTTAGAATCAATTAGTAAATTACATATTGTACCAGCAGTCTGTTCCTACCTAAGGCCTTTTGGACACTAGTGCTTCAGTCCCACCAATAATTTGAAAATATTTTATCCATCGACAACGTAGGCCTAGTAATCAAAAGACCATGAAAAATTTTCCCAATATACATTATAATTATATGAATTTTGTTCCAAGTGCCAGTCAACTGGCCTGTGTTCATTAATTTATATGCTACTGGCACTACCCTTTAAAATGTCTATGAGAACTTTTTTAGTACTACTACTAGGCCTACTTAGTCAGTACTAGGCTAGTAGCCTAATTGAATTTGAAGGAAAGCAGTACAAAATTTAATAAATTGGAGATCTTCTGATCTGTATTTTGCATGTTACCATACCCAATTCTCTGACAGTCTATTAAATTATCAATAATGGTCTACACTACAAGCTCACCAGTACTTAAACCTACATTTTTAGACATGATGCCATTAATTTGATGGGCAGCATGGCTAAAACTACATAATCCTAAGGCAATTAGTATTATAGCCTGTATACCAACTTTTATCAAATATTTCGTACTTTCATAAAATTTAGAAACACGATGAATTCGACCACAAAAGTCATTAAGCTTAACTTAACCCACAACTTGATGAGTACCTTTTAAGAAATTGAGCTTGGAATAGTAGGCTAGATCTATTTAAATTTTAATAATTTAGGTCACTGGCGCAAACTCAATTTCCCACAAAATAAAATCAACTTGAAAATCAAACGGTTATCTAATTTCTATGCTTTACCTGGTTCCCGAAGACATGTTGGTCTCTCTCAAAACAACCGATTCGCGTTAAAATAACCCGTTAATTCCTTAAACAAACATTTGCTAAAATAATTTCAGATTACTTGTAAAAACTCCTAAACTAACATGATCACAACAAATTAATGGACGCCACCATGTTTGTTGTCGGGGACAACGATTCAACATACCCGGATGATAAACAAAGGTTTCTTCAATAAAGGAAATGGTCGTCTCGCTCCGATGCTCACGGAAAGAACCGATTTAGTGATTCTGACATTTGATTGGTCGACCCGATACCGGGGTTTTCCGCCAGTGTTCGACGATGCCCCGCTAAAATTCAAAGTACTCGATTACATCGTGGGAAGTAAATTTAAAATATGGTCAGAAAACTTTCCCAATCTACATGAAATAACTCAAAATAAAGGAACAATGAGTCTGGTTTGTATACTTAGAAATATGAAATAGACTTTCCAGTTGCAAATTTATGTTTTTTTTGCATCTAAAATGTACTTTATATTTCTTTATTTTTGTGTTGTGGTGAATCAAACTTCAAAACACGTCAACAGCACAATTGCACTGCCATTATTGCAGGTCAAGTAACCTCATTAAACCTGTGTGTATAGAAAATGGTTAAAGTTCACGTAGGCTTAGGCTTCCTAGAATTCAACAATCAGTCAGCACCATTAAATTAAAATGTTCAGTGTCTGGTAATGCTGGAAAATAAAATATACATTAATATTAATCGTAAGCTTACTACTAGGCGTAGGCCTAGCCTACTGGTATTTATAATTTATTTATACAGTAAATGGTGAAAATTTAGATTATTTCTAAATTCTAGCCTTCCTCACCCCGTCCCCTACCTTCCCTCTTTTCCAATTACCAGTGGAGATTTGTCGAATGGTGGGTCAGGTATTTTAGGATAGGAGATGTGGTTGGGTATGAATGATCTGAGAATTGTACCTGTATTGTACCCACAGCTGCAAGGAAAGTGTTCCTAATTAATATTCAGTTATTTTCATTGCAATGACATTAAGGTTTCTCACAAGTTTGTGTTAGTTGTTTATCCCGGTTTATAGAATGATCTGAGAATATCCTTGAATCATGAGGGGTGGGGGGGGCTGAAGAAAAAATAACAAAAGACTTTAATAATTTAAATTCTGTATTGTACCCACAGCCTCAAGGAAAGTGTCCCTGATATTGAGTTATTCGTATTGCAATGGTATTAAGGTTACTCATCTATATAGTCTATAGATTTTCATCCGTAGACTTTAGTTAGTGAGCTTTGGATTATAATGGCTTTAGAATTAGTGTAAGCTTATATTTTGTTTTTATTTATTGGTAATTTAAAGACAAAAGATATGCTTGTTTTTAGTACTTTTAAATATGTAAGATAAATTTATGTATTCTTAATTATTTATAGGAATATTTGTAAATTTATGAAATAAAGCAAAAGAAATGGATCCTGGCAAGAAAAGAGCACTTATTGACTGGGTAAGTTTAAGACTCCCTAAGACGACAACTCACAGATATTTACATATTTACAAAGAGCTCTGTCCAGGACAGTGTCTATATAGTGACATTATATACATGTCTATTCATTCGTATGGGATGTAAAATGTCAAGTGGATGCTAAATAGATCTCATTTGGGGGGTTGCATGGCCGAATACATGTGCGCGTTGGATTATAAGGTCTGTCATTGAGTCAAGTGGCGTGGTTTTGATTTCCCGCTTGTACATGTACGTGACAAGGCTTAGGGTCCTCCGATTTCCTCCCACTGTTAACTTAAAGACCCCTACGCGCAAGCAAATTATTGAAATAAAATTGAACCATATGTTAGTTGCAAAATGACCTAGTAGTAGTTTGTGTCAAGAGGGCGTTAGACCCCATTTCTCCCTGTCTATCTCATTTATCTGTCGAGAAAACAGACTTTGCTAGTAATTGAAGTGAACCTAAAGAGTTGTGATTAATACAAAATGTCAATCGTCTTTCATGAATCTTCTTATTATTTTGGTTAACATATCAGTTATGAAATCATTTTGATTTATTTATTGTCAATATAATATTTTCAGGTAAATGCTATTGATGAAGAGGCTCATTTAAATTCCCTTCATGAATTAAAAGATGGAAAACAATTGACCAATTTACTCAAGTTATCGTAAGTTTCCAAAGTACCTGTAATGTACTAATTATATAAAATTTTAAACTGGAAGAAAGCGAGCTGGACAACAACTGTGTATAGATACAAAATAAAAAATAAAAAATGACACTTGTCCTAGATCCAAAAACTTTATCAAGTAATGTCTAATTTATTGCAAGGGAATCATATACTGTTATTATAGTGCACATAAAAGATCCATTGATTGAAAATACACAACCCATCCCAGACAAAATTGTTACTTGCCTAGCTAACAAGATCTTGTGAAACTCTATCAAAATTTAACAAAGTCATAAAGTACTGGTGCTGTACAAAGTAAATTTATAGTATCTAAAGTCATCAAATTCTTTCGTAATTTTATATTTCCAGGGAACAATCACTTGTAATAAACATATCTGACAGAACATGGATGGAAAATGTACAGGATTATATAGAAAGTAAGTTGAAATAAATATATGTTCTAATTCTAATAGATAAAAATGCTGAAGATTATTTTTTTACTTAAAAATCTCTCACTGAAGATTACCACATGGTCATTGTTAATTATATAACAATATTAGAGATAATTATCTTTTTTTATCAGCATGATACATTTCTTCATAAAAAAATTATTAGACTTGGTACAATATATAATTAAATGGAAAATTGAGCATCATTATACATGTGTAAGACTACATGTAGGTATAATTCTATCGTCACAACCACATTGTCTTTTATAGGATTATTATTTTGACAATTAAGATTTTAAGGATTAAGAGAAGTTGGAGAAGCCACTCTCCATAGAGAATTCTCTAGCTTCACACTGGACCAAAATTCCCATGATTGTCTCTAAATGCTTGGAAACACCACTGTTCAGACAAAATTCTCTTGCATGTACTGCACATAGAAATACTGTGTATACATATTAGTTTCAAAATGTTCCAAGTATGATGTTAACAAGATGTTAATCCCCATTCCAATTTTATAATATTTATTGAAATGCTTGCAAATACAAATTATTTTAGGACAATAGAAATATATTTTAACACTTTCATTATGATGTAAAGTTTATTTCAATACTCTCATTTGTTGGAAGTTTATTTCAACACTTCAATGTTATTTTTTATTTTAGATTTTTACCATGTAAAATTTGCTGAAAATAAATTAATAGATTTTGATCTCATTTATACTTCACAAGAAAAAGATGTCCATGTTGAATTTGAGTTGGCTAAGGTAATGATTTTGCATTTATAGTATACTATTCAAAAAAAGTAGGGGATATTTGATTTTGGGGGCATAATACTTAAATATGCAAATGACTACGAAAAAAGTCACTATAGAACCTAACAGAAGAAACATTTCCAGTTACATGTGACGCCCAAACGCACCAATAGCTACCGCATGGAATGCAGGTGATGCTTGAGATCATCATGGGGGTCCAACCCAAGATTTGCACGACTCTGACTTTGAATGTTACAGTCATTGTGGCATTGAATTCCAGGGTGGAAACATCAGTTTAATTGTTTTAGTGACCAGAAAACAAATTTTGATATGCGTCGGCTTACCCAAAATGAAAGGTTACGTGCCCTTGGCATGCTACAGATCGGCACAACACAGGCGGTTGTGGCGCGGACGATGAATGTTTCTCAGTCTGTCATAAGCAGGCTATGGTCCAGATACCGTGATACACAATCTGTACAGGACAGACCACGCTCAGGTCGACCAAGGGCGACAACTCAAGCCCAGGATCGATTTATCCGTACCTTGGCCTTGAGAAATCGTGTCATCACAGCAAATCAGATCAGCGCTCGTCTTCAAACAGACACTGGTGTGAGAGTGAGTGGCCAGACGATTCGGAATCGACTGCATAGGGGTCACCTTCGCGCCCGACGTCCTCGCGTGATCCCTTGTTTGAGAGATCATCACATTCAGGCAAGACGTCGTTGGTGTAGGGATCGTCAACACTGGGATAATCGACGCTGGAGCAATGTGATGTTTTCAGATGAGTCAAGGTTCACTGTTGATTTTTTGGACAGACGTAGGAGGGTGTGGCGTCGTCGAAACAAGCGCTTCCAAGACGTTAACGTCATCAGACATGATCGATTTGGGGGTGGTTTTGTTATGGTGTGGGGAGGCATCACTGTTGCTGGAAGAACGGCTTTACATGTTGTTGCAGGGCGTGTTACAGGCCAGTACTACCGGGACAACATCTTGGCAGTCCATGTTGTGCCGTTCGCACGACGTCATGGCCGCCGTTTCATCTTCCAGGATGACAACGCAAGATGTCACAGGGCCAGGATCGTTACAGGTTACCTCCAACAACAGAACATCACCACATTACCTTGGCCAGCACTGAGTCCCGACCTCTCCCCCATCGAGCATGTCTGGGACATGCTTGGACAGAGGTTACGTCAACGTCAACAACGTCCTGCCAATGTCCAAGAACTTGCTGCTGCGTTGCAACAGGAATGGGACAATCTGGACCAAAATGACCTTAGACGTCTCATTAGGAGTATGCCACGTCGGATCAATGCTTGTTTGGCAAACAGAGGAGGATTTACCCATTACTGACTTGGTTGTGATGCTGTGCCTTACTTAGTCTAACGATCATTTGGAATAAATCGATGAATGTGAACTTCATTTCATTTTGTCATTTGTTTCTTCATCAGTTTCATTAGGTGACTTTAATAACACTTAAAAATCAAATATCCCCTACTTTTTTTGAATAGTATATTATTAACCGTCTGAATTTATGTCAATCTGAAAGTGCTTGGACCAATGTTAAAAGTTATGTTGAACCAATTATTAAGGCTACATGAAAGTTACTATAGTATAACTGATTAATTCTTGAGAAAATGACTGGAAATCCCTTACCATAGTTGCTCTAAGTGATGGCTGAGAAAGTTCATTGATATTTTCCAGTGTGGTTTCCGTTTGTCATTGTCTAGTTGTTCGGATGGTATGGAAAACCAAGGTCCCATGTACACATTGGCATACACATTGATGTTTGAGCAAAATTTCCCTCATATCACTCTGGATGTAGCATGTCCGTCTTCATTAGCCCTGTCGAAGCAGAACAGTAGGACGCCAAACCCCATTCGATTTCATTTCCTTTATCATAGCCCAGTGATACCGGTACTTTTTTTTTAGAAATAGAACTTTCAGTCTGTATTTTTACAGATGGCCAATAGGCCTCAATTTCCATAACGAGATAGTGTCAGGATTGCTAAGTCTACATATTCTTGCCAATGCTATAGTGGTAAGTGGCTTGTATGATTCCAGACACTATATCATTTATTTGGCCATGAAGTTCAAAGTGAAAGGTCAGACAAATTGTCTGCTGGTTGTAGACCCCATTATATACATGTATTGTGAATTTTATCATTTATTTTGGTAGGTATTGTTGGCGGTACTCGGTACATCAGTACAAGAAAAGAATCGCCATTTATTTATCTGTCCAGCCATGAACCTTGATGTGACGGTACAATTGAGTGTAAAGGAATTATTAGAATGTGTTGTATGTCCTAACGATCCTCATTCTATTTTACCTGGAGATTTTGCCGATATCTTAACAAGAACAACCGGTAGGTACAATATGGAAATGATAAAAAGTATTTAAATATAAATATTTCCTAAAAGGATGGTTTACGCGTTAGATCAAAAGATCTGTCAGTGGACATAAACCCCATTTCTTTTAAAAAAAGATCCCTTGGCAGTTAGAATTAAAATAAGACGTTGGAACACTACTCTTGGTACAAACTAATCTTTCTTACAATGATTGTTTCAAAATTAGTAAAGTATCATATTAAGATGTTCAACTCCATTCTCTTGCTTGGAAATTGAAATAAAAGTAGGTGGTAGTACCACTGTCTGGGCAAAATGTCGATCATAGCACACAGCATGGTATATGCTCAGTTTTATTAGAGCTGTTGGTTTAGACAAGTGTATAAGTGTTATTGCATATTAAGATTATTGACAGGTTTGTCAGGCATAAATATGCCGTTGACATTTTATGGAATTTTATCAACTCGAATGTGTGGGTAAATTAATTTGTTGAAAACACCCATTCCTTGCTACACCTTAAATTCCTGTTTTCCCACCCATATTTAAAAGATAAATAATTTGTATACAGGTTGCTAATATCTTGATTCGGACTATGTCTTTAATTGATAAATTAATGACGATTAATCGGGGCATCTTTAACTGATTGTAATTAGGGAAACAGACAACTATATTATAAGATAAATCAGTGGTTCCCAACCATTTTTCTAATTGAGGAACCCAGTCTGTGACATTTTAAAGATCGGAGTCCCCAACCCCATCTGAAGTTATATTTAGCTATATTTATAGCCATTCTGATCAAAATGTGACTCTTGTTTTGAGCTACTGAAATCCATTACCCAAATACCAGATATTACTAAGACTGCCTTTTTTTTTTATGGACCCCTTTTGCCCTGGGGAAAACCCCCAAATTATTTCGCAAACCCCTAATGTGTCTATGGACCCCCATGGTTGGGAAACACTGAGATAAAAAAAATCAGAAAGCAGTGCAAGTGACATTTTGGTTTTTTACTTCTGCTTACTAGAAAAAGGTAACCGTCACGAAGCTACTCTTTTCTTTCGCCTAGTGGCCAATACCAGTCTACCAACGACACCTGTAGCGAACACACCAAGTGGAGAAGAACATTTCTTCGCTTCCAACAGTAGTTTCTCCGGCTCCTCTTTATGTACGTGTTGCACCAACGTTACATAACATGTTACTAAGTTATCTTTCCTTTCACGCAGTGTTATCTTTCCTTTTACAAAGCTATCTTTCCTTTTACACAGAGCTATTTTTCCTTATACTTTTACACAGTTAACAGTTTTTCACAAGCACAGGGGCACCTTTGTAAAATAATAATGATTTTGTTTTGAATTTTGAAATAAATTTGTTATGTTATAGTTTATTTCACATGTCACAAAACGATTCTCGTATTAAGGCATCCTGGGGTTGCTTGATTGTCAGTCCAGGACCCTCTGAATTGAAGGGGTTAAAATCGAATGACACCGAATTGAGTCCTGTTACAGCCGTTCTGCGAGTCCCAGAAGTAGATGTGGTGTGAGCAGAATCAAACATTTCATTTGTGGTGATTGCTCAAGATTGTATCATATTCTGTTGATACATGTCTTGTCAGCTGGAATTCTCATGTTTGACTTGATTGGTGGTTGAAAGTATATAATTCTAGAACTTTTAATCAAGGATGTCCTGTGGTTTTGCTTATTTTTCATTAGAAACACCAGGGCTAATAATTTCAGATCACAAATTATATTTCCTATTAATGTCATTATGTAAGATTTAGATAAAGAGCTGACCATTCTTGCTATAATATTTAAAAAAAAAAAGATAATGCAAAATGAATATACAAATGTATTGAAAATTTTATTCAAATTACTTTTATTTTGAGCAAAGTTATCAATGGTTGTATTTTTGACAAGATGTGTGCATTTATCGTAACTACCGTACTAATCATTCAAGTCTTAGCCTCGCTTCTCCATTTTTAAATTAAATCATTAAATGGCTGAACAGATCTAATCTACTTAGAATCGGAGGCCTCCAATGGCATCGAGAGTTGATTATGGTCATGCCATGTTAATAAATGTCTAATAATTTATATAATATTTAAGGCCCAAAGAAAGACCTCCAAATGCAATAGATTTAGCTCTTACCTAATGCCTGTTTAAAAGATATATTTAAAAATGCCATTATTTAAATTTGTCTTGATATATGAAGTGATGTATCCTCTTTATTCACGTTGTTCTACAATGGGAATAATTTCTTTGTTTATTTGCTAAATTGTATTTTCAATTTCTAATAGATTTTAAAATGTAAAGATGTAAATTGGTCGCAGAGAAAAGGTTGCCCACCTGATCGTTTGAATGGGTTTGACATATAACTGTGGCTCAAAGTTAAAGATTAACACATGACAATATTCTAAGTTACTTTGATATTAGACTTTTCGACATGGGTTTTCTTATCTTTACTTGAATGTCAAATATCACTTTAAGAAATAACAAATTCACTAAGAGCAGAAAGATATCTAGACATTGATAACAGGTTTTAATTATAATTTAAATAAATCATTTTGTTTAATTCTTTGTATTTTATCTTTTTACAGTATCTGTATCAGACGTCAAACAAGCGAGTCCATTGTCTCGGCTTGGTGTTAAAGATATATCATCACCATTGAGAATGTTGACCTTGACCTCATCACCTACCACACCTTTGGCAGAATTCATGCAGTCTCCACAACTAGCTCAAAAAGTAGGTATTATGGTTATATGGTATCTTACTTGTATCAATATCATGAAATAACTAAAAATGGATAAATATAGCATTCCATATGTATATTATCAGTGCACTAAAATAGGAGTTTATTATGCAAAATGAGTTGGAAGTCACAAGTCATCGTTTTACGATATGAACAAAAATGTTGAAATATCATTTTTAATCATATGGAACACAAAGCAAAGTTTATAAAAAAAAATGTTAGATAATTCACCAGCTTTTGCCGAACACTTATATAGGTGAAACTGGCTTATTATATTATTTGCACTGGATGCAGAATGTTGGGAAATTGTCACTTGGTCATAGATTTGTGAATATACTGTAAATATCTGCACCGTATTTAATTAACTACATTTTATATTTCTTATCTATCTTATTTTCCTTTGTATTATTGTTATCTATTTTAGTTTACCTTAGTTTTATTATTTATGTTAATTCGTTTTCCATCTAGATCCTGCTTAGAGAGAGAGAACAAAAGGATAAAGTGGAGGTGATTTAATCATCCTTCAATCGTTCTATTCATCCACTAATTCATTCTCTTATTCACTTATTGATTTGTTCATTTCACAGAATTGACACTAACAGAAAATTAACAAATACTTTTCTCGATTCAATATCAGATTCACAGGTTTTGCAAATTGAAATTTTATGGATTCTCTTACATGAGCCTCTGTATGTTTTATTATTTGGCCGCAAGCTTTATTCCACTATCTTTATATTTGAGTAGTACTGTGGGGCTGAATAACCTTAAAGCTCTTAAAGACGATACACCTCGTTGATTTCAGTTCAAATTAAGTGTTGATATGTCACATTATTTCTATGATTAAATTTGTTTAGAAATATTTAGTTTCAGTCTTTGGCTTGAACTGTCAACCTAAAATACAGACAGATCAAAGCAAATCAAGACCTAAAACTTCATTTTAATCAAAATTAAATACCCAAAACAAGACCTCAAACTTAATAAAATCTGTTACTCAATACAAATCAGAGGTTTAAACTTTAATCATGTTAAACTTTATATTCGCACTGATCTCCTTCCATTGCTAAAAAGTCCTATTCATAACTTTACCCCTCTTTTTATTCTAAAAACGTAGTTTTTGTACAATAGCAAATTCCATTCTCTTTATTATCTCTCTTTCTATTTGACTGTTTTCTAGAATATAAGTTGTTCATTGTTTGTTAAACTTGTGAATCTAGACTTCTGTATATCGAGTTAGTGTCAATGTTCATCCACTATTCATCACATCACAGCTACAAAACTAACATTACCCATTGCTGTTACTTGCTTCACTTATATTAACTAAAACAAATTTTTAACACAAATTTCATAATGACATTATGTACTATAGTATAACTATGTTTATTTTTTAGGTGTTTTTTTTTTTATTTATAATATATATTTAGAGTAATACAACATTTCATAATGTTAAAAGTTAAGAGATTTATTTTATTGTATTTTCTTGTTAATATAATGATCGTATTTATATACTCATTAGCTAACCATTAGCAAAAATTCATTCTCTAGTTTAAAATTTTACTGCACCAGAAGTTGACTTATTCATTAAATGTGAGCTTATGCTGTTTTTTTGGGGGGGGTTTAAAACAAACTCAACTCATGGTTATTCTTTAATATTTATTTGTATTTTTTTTTTTTCCAGGCCATAATGAGACAAAAAGAACATGAAATAAAGAAATTAGAATTAGTTATTGGTACCGAACGCCATCTTAGACAAGAATTAGAACTTGATCTTCAGGAAAAATCTGTTGTCATTGACGACAATGGTATGTTGTATTTTGCATTATGATATTATTTTCCAATATGGGTGAAGACTGCCTCCACTATGTCATGTAATTGTAGTGTTTCTGTATGAAAGGTTTAATTTCAAATCATTGTTGGCTAATTGTTCAAATTCCTTGAGAATCATCGACATCAAAAAATATTGGCTTCTTAGTGTTGAATAGTTTAAAATGGCCTGTCTAGATTAGATGATTTAATGTGTGATTTACAACTGTTTATTTTCACTAGCGGTGTTGAGTAATTGATTAGTCTGTTAATTACTCAACACTGCTCACTGCTCAGGGAGGAAAATAGATTTTGTTTATAATCTAAAGATTTGACAGTATGTATATTGTCTGTTCTCCCCAATATTATTTTGGTTTTTTTTATTCCAGAATGTAAAATTCGTGATTTAACTAAACAGTTACAATATTTACGTAAGATGAAGGATGAGACAGATGAGTTAATGACACTTCGCGCTGAAAATGAACAATATGAAAATGAAATAACCAGGTTAGTGACAAGACGCGGTTGATATGAAATGAAATGAAATGTGGTTTAACGTCCTACGATTCTGCTCTAACTGAACTAATGGTATATGCTATATAGTGTGGACAGCAGCAGTACGGCCTACTAGTATATCAAATTCTAGCTGCCAAGGAATATATAGCATGTAGCCAATGTGTACATGTGCTCTCAGATTTTTATTCCATCAGAATGACTATACATTGTTCCTTGCCAGGCTGTCGATCCTGCACCAGTGAGAAGGAGAAACCACATCGGAAAATCCTGTTGAACCTTCACGGCCAACGCCATGATCGAACACTGGGTCACTATTGCTCGACAAACCACAGAGCGTAAGGCTGAATTTTAGCTTGGAAAGTAAGGCACTGGCTCACTAACTTGGAGGTCACAGACTCAAGCCCAGTCATTGTTGATCGAGGAAACTCCCTGGCTTCCCCTTCGGATTGGTTTTAGCAAACAAGTTCTGGTGTACAAATTGGTGTTCACATTAAAAATGATCATGGCAACTGGAATTCCATGAACAGCTCATGGAACTATCCAGACTGCATGAAACCGAGACAAGTGATTCCTGTTTAATTGATATTATTTATTTTCTAGAATTAAGAGTAAGTTAGAAGAAATGATGATGATAAAGAAACAATCAGAAGTTATAGAAATTGAAAATAAAGAATTAGTTGCAGAATTAGAAAAATACAGACAAGAGGTAAATACAAATTACATTAGTTTAGTCTTCCAAACTGCATTGGCCAAGAAAGTTCATTTTGATTTTCCGGAGTGGTTCCCCCTTGTCAGTGGTTCAGGACAGATTGCCTGGCAAGGAACAACGTACAGTCGGTCCAGTGTACACATTGATGTGCATGTAAAAGATCTCTCGGCCAATGGAATTCAATATAAGAGTAGGCCATAGCGATGCTGCATGGGCAAAATTTCCCTGAAAGCACACTGTATGGCGTATGCTCATTTTCATTAGGCCAGTCTGAGAAGAACAGTAGGATGTTAAACCCTGAATGCAACTTTAGATCAAAAAGTCTGTCATTGTCTTCTTGTTCCCCCCCCCCCCCCCCCCCCCCCCCCCCCGACCTGTCTGTACGTGGTGAGGAGTCGACTCTTTTCTCTGGTTGCTATCCACTGCAAAAGATCCCTTATGTGCAAACTGATAATCGAAAAAAAGGTATACCATATTAGGCCACAAGTTACCTAGTTTGTGTCGAGTGGATGTTAAACCCAATCCCTCAGTTATGTTTTATCTGGGAGGAAACTGGCATTAGTAAACACTTTTATTATCGTATTTATTTTATTTTTTTACTTGACAATAAAGCATTATTTTATTTGCAGATGAAAATGGTAGACTCCCTAAAGACAGGTTTTGAAGGATATCGAACTCAATGTCACAAATTACAAGTTTCTTCAGCAGCCATTGAAAGTCAGTTAAATCAGAAAGAGGCTGAATATTTGAAACTACATGATGAAAAAGAGGCTGTGCTTCAGGCTCTTCAACAGCTGAAAGAGATGAACTCAAAAAGTAAACGTGACCTTGAAGACTTTAATGGAGAAGGTATGTTAACCAATCAAATTGTTTAATATTAGATCAGCTGTGTTTCTGTTTTATTGAAAGTATATTTTTGACCCTTGGCCATAAAAATAAATAAAATGAAATGTCTTACTTTCTGTACGCACTTGGCTAATAAAAATGAGCATGCACCATCCAGTCTGCTGTTTCTTTTTCCAACTTCAATGCGCTTCCTATGGTACACAACAAGGATACCTCGGTTTTCCATCCCATTCAGACGACTAGACGCTTTTTCATTGCCAGGCCTTCTCTTCTGTCCACAAAGGGAAAGCAGGCTGGATAATTTTTAGGAATTTTCAAGATCAAACTCTGGACGTTTTGTTTATTGAGCCAGTGGTATACTCACTGAGCCACTGTTTCTCTGTCCAAACAAAAAGTGGATCATTCAGGACAAAATGTTGCATAAGAAATATACTAATCTCAAATCGACAAAATATGTACTACATTGTTGATGTGATGTTAAACCTCACATGATATTTAATATTTAGAATGAAGTAAGAAAATAATCATCTATTTTATTTTTAGGTTTATGTAACGGTGAATCTATGGCCATTATAACCGACAAGAAATTATCCGAAGTTGAAAATGAACTTTATAAAATTCAACAAACATGGATTCAACCAAACGTGCATCAACAGTTACAAATAGAACATAATAATATTCTACAAAAACATGACCAATTACAGGTGAGTAACAAACCATTATAACCTATAATTATTTGCCCTATACAGAGAGTAACTTATAATTATTTGCCCTATACAGGGAGTAACTTAAAGTTAATTGTCCTATACAGGGAGTAACTTAAAGTTAATTGTCCTATATCGAGGGTAACTTAAAGTTAATTGTTCTATACAGAGAGTAACTTTTACTTAATTGTCCTATATAGAGAGTAACTTAAAGTTAATTGTCCTATAATAGAGATGGTAACCATGGCTGAGTGTCAGTGAGTGATCTAGATGTGTTTGATTTGATCCCTTGAATTGTATGTAAGCCTACATGTATGTACCAATTAATAGCACCTAACTTCCAAGAACTAGAGAACTGTACCTCCACACAGGAAGCTGACATTTGAAATAATCATACCTATATACCCAGACAGTTTGTTTTATATTGTGAAGGTCTATAGGTCATTCTGCACACAGAGACCTATCAACTCTACTTTAAGAATAGATCTCTGACCTAAATGGCCACATATCCAACAATTAGTGTAAAGTTTTGTATTGCGATCCTACTTATTTCTTAAAAACATTATTTTTTTTCAGGAAAGCTTGAAGAATTTAAATGAAAGTTCTACAAAAATGAGTGAAGAAATAACACAACTAAAATCCTGGGTATCAAAATATGAAGACGAAATTAGGAATTTAAACCAATCAAACGAACAGCAAACAGTTACCATATCAAACATGGAGGAAAGGTATCAAACCGACACAGAATCTCTGAAAGCCGAAATTCAAACAACTCACGAATCCCACAAACAAATGATCACGAAACTTGATGAAGAATACAAATGTAAACTATCAGTGTGTGAATCAAATCTTCAGGAAAAAATCAGCCTCTGTGATGATCTCAAACACGCTAACACAGAATTAGAGGAACAAAATGAAAAACATCTTGTAACCATAGAAACAAAACAATGGGAAATAACTGAGCTGACTCGATTACAGACAGAAAATGTAGATATGATCAACCAGCTGAATGAAAACAATAAACAACAATCAGAACAGTTGAAGAGCTGTGAAAATCAGCTTCACGAAGAACTCGAAAAACAAAACCATCTCAAGCAGACGACTGCTGCTAAAATACAAGAACTAGAGATGCATTTAGAAAATAAAAAACAAGAATATACGGCGCTTGTTCAAATGTCATCTGTCAGTGTTCAAACTTTGGAAGCAGAACGTGAAGAATTGAATCAGCAATTTGTTGCCATGGAATTATCAACATCGGAAAAAATAAAAAAACTTGAAACAGAATGTGAGAATCACAAACAACAGTTCCAGTATTTATCAAAAGCTTCCTCCTCCAAGATTCACGACCTTCAGATGGAATGCAAAAATTGGTCAGAATCAAACCAAGAACTGAACCAGACTCTGACTGAGACCAAGTCTCAATTCCAAGAACAGAAACAGGAACTTCTCAATCTCCAACATTCCACAACTGAAATAATCAGCCAATTAGAAAATAGTTTACAATCAAAATCTCAACAGATTTCACAAATGGAAACTTTATTACAGACAAAAGTGGAGAAACATAATGAGCTTGTTGAAACAACTTCCTCTAAAATCAAGCAATTGGAAAATAAATGTGAAATGCAGAAGGAGGAATATATCTCATTGCAACAGTCAACTTCTGCCAAAATCCAGCAGTTAGAGTCAGAAGCAGAAATTCAAAAGGAGCAATTTGTCTCCCTTGAACAATCATCGTCTGCAAAAATAGAAGAACTGAATTCAAACGTCGAAAAATTATCAGAAATAAAATCAACGCTGGAAGCTGAATTTGAGAATCAGCAACAAGAATTAGTGCATCTTCAGTCATCTTCTTCTGTCCGAATCCAAGAACTCGAAACAGATTTTGAAAACCAGAAACAAAAGTTGGAAGAAATGCAAGAAACTTCTTCTGCTAGGCTTGAACAACTTCAGCTGGAATGCACAACGAAACAGCAGCTGCAAGTGCAAGTTGAAGCTGAGCTTGAAAAGCAGAAACAAGACTACTTATCTCTTCAGGAACAATTGTCGTCAAAAATTCAAATTTTGGAATCGGGTTGTGAAAATTACAAACTTTGTCAGACTGAATTTGAAAATAAGTGTAGTGAATTAATAAACACTAAACAACATTTGGAATCCATCTGTGAAAACCAGAAAAAACAAATGAAAGAGTTGGAGGAATCAACTTCTCATAAATATTCTTGTTTGGAAAATGAGCACCAGAAATTGACGGAAGAGAATTGTAATTTGGAAGAAAATTGTGACAAGTTAGAAAAAGAAACTGAAGAATTACAACAACGGCTGACAACGCTCGAAGGTTCCACAGCAATGAAAATCCAAGAAATGGGAGTTGTAATCGATGGAATGAAGAACGCAAAGTTTCAGACAGAGTCAGAACACTTGGCTCTGAATGAAACATTGACAACAAAAATCCAAGAATTACTTTCTCAAAGTGCCAATCTTTCTACAGAGAAAGCTCAGTTGGAAGAGAAATATGAAAGTCAGAATCAAATTTTACAAAAGACGGAAGCCAAGCTCGAAGAACTGACGGAAACATATAATAAAATATCCACGGCTAATGAAGATCTGGAGAAAGAAGGCACATCGAATAAAGATAAGTTGGACTATTTAATGAACTGTGAAGAGATGGCCAATGAAAAGCTTCGTGAGCTAGAAGAAGAATTCCTCAGCCAGAAATCGGAAAATGTTGCCTTAAAACAGTCGTCTTTAGAAAACTTGCGGGAGTTAGAATCAGAGTGTGAGAACTTGACAAAGGTTCATGTGGAATTGGAGAATATCAAACAGACGTGGATTCAACCAGACATTTATCAGAGCTTGCAGACGCAGCATAGTGAATCTTTGGACAAATACAATAATTTACAAAAACAGTTTGAAGATCAGGAAATCGTGACAGCTCGTAAGATTGATTCACTAGAATCAGAAAACGAAAGGTTAAGGTTTGTTATTGGCGATTTGGAATCAAAGTCAGAAAATCAAAAACAAATTGAAGAGCAATCTTCTATGAAAATATGTGAGCTCCAGAAAAATTTAACTGAAACATCCAAACGAATTTCCGAGATGGAGTCACAGCTTCAACAAGAAATACAAAAACAGAATGATCTGGAAAAGACAGCGGCCATGAAAATCCAAGAACTGGAAGCAGAGTGTGAAAACCAAAAGCAGATATCTTGTCATGAGATGGCTGAACTAGAAACAAAATATTGTGAATTATCAAAAACCAAAGATCTTCTTGAACAAACTACGTCAGTCAAGATTCAGGAATTGGAGGCCAAGTGTTGCCAATTTCAAGAATCCAGTGAAACATCTGAACAAACTATGTCTGTTAAAATCCAAACACTTGAAGCAGAACTGGAAACTCAGAAGCAGACAGCATTGCATCATATAGCAGACCTCCAGAGCAGATGTGATAATTTGACGAAATCAAAAGAGGTTATGGAGCAAGCAACTTCTGCCAAGATTCACGAATTAGAAACACTGTGTGATAACTTACGTCAATCCAATGAATCGTTCCAACAAACCACATCCACTAGAATTCGAGACCTAGAACAGGAATGTGAGAAGCTGGTTAAATCAAAAGAAGAAATGGAGAAGAAACATCAGGAAGTTCTAGAAGAAAGTGAAGCAGAACTGGAAACTCAGAAGCAGACGGCATTGCATCATGTAGTAGACCTTCAGAGCAGATGTGATAATTTGACAAAATCAAAAGAGGTTATGGAGCAAGCAACTTCTGCCAAGATTCACGAATTAGAAACGCTGTGTGATAACTTACGTCAATCCAATGAATCGTCCCAACAAAACACATCCACTAGAGTTCGAGACCTGGAACAGGAATGTGAGAAACTGGTTAAATCGAAAGAAGAAATGGAGAAGAAACATCAGGAAGTTCTAGAAGAAAGTGAACAGTACTGGAAACTTCAGTTAGTCAGTCTGGAAGAGGAGTTCGAGAAAGGTATACAAGAACAAAAAGAAACGTACGAAACTGAAATGACATCTGAACGAGAAAACCAGGAGACGCAATTGTCAAATTTGTCTTGTCAACATGAAGGTGTTCTCTTTTCTCAAAGAGCTATCTTAGAAGACAGAATCGAAGATCTGGAGGCTCAGATGGACAGACAGAAGAGCGAGTGGGTGAAAAGATTAAATAAAATGAAAAAAGAGCATGAGGTTGCCATGGCAAACATGGAGGAACAGTATAAGAACGAGACAATGTCTTTGAAGGAAGAGGTAGTAGAACTGCGTCAATCACAAGATGAATCGGTGACCAGACTTGAAGAAGATTACAAATCAAAACTTTCTCATCTTGAATCATGCCTCAGAGAACAAATCGAAACGCACAACATTCTGAAATCAGAAATTGAAGAATCTAAAGCGCGATCTTCAGCAAGACGAACAGAATACGAGAAAGAAATAGTACAGAAAGATGCTGAACTTCGATCCATCGAGCAGGATTATGAAACTAAGTTAGGTCATTTGAAGAGCTGTCTCGAGGAACAACTCACTGCTCAACAACAGATGAAGACAGAAATCGTGGAATATACAAACAAAATGACTAGAATGAAGGCAGATTACGAACAACGGTTAAGAAATTCGGCAACAAGCAGCTCTGAATCCATCACTGAGCTAGAAGAAGATTACAAGTCCAAATTAACGCATTTAGAAATGTGCCTAAAAGATGAAATGTCAACCCATCAAGAATTGAAGGCAGAAATTGAAGGATACACCATAAAGCTGGCTCAGATGGAAACAACTGTTTCAGAAAGAAATACGGAATATGAAAACCGTCTGATGGTGTTGAACCAAGAAAGAGAACAAGCGATTGACAATCTGACCAAAAGTCACCAACAGCAACAAGAATCCCAAGAGACAGAACTTGTGTCTTTGAAAAATAGAATCGAGGAATTAACTCCCTTAGAGGAAGAGAAACAGAGATTAACTTCTCAGCTTGAAGAGTTTACTAGGGAGATAACTCAGGTTAAAGAGCAATGTTTCTGTCTGGAAGAAGAGAAAAAGACGCTAGTGAATAATCTGTCTCATAGTAAAGAAGAGTTCCGATCAATCATTAAAAAGAAGGAAATGGAATCTTATGAACAGACGCGATGTGAGCGACAAGCCTACGAGGAACAGATCAATAAACAACAAGTGGAGTTAAACAGTTTACGATCAGAGTATAACACACAAAAGGTAGGGTTATTGTTTTATAACATTTTGGACATTAGGTGGCACAGTGGTCAATCTCGTGCTGTAGATTATAATGTCTGTAATCATAGTATGTTCAGGGTTTGATCCCCCGATCTGTATGTGACAAGAAGTAGGGTCATCTGAGTTACCTTGTGAGCTTTCCTTCAGACACTCCCGCTTCTTCCCACCTCTAACTCTAAGGATCCTTGCTTGTATTTGAATTACTGAAATATACATTTACTATCTTTTTTCTAAAATGACCTGGTTTGTTGAGTGGACGTTAAACCCTCTCTCCCGTAAAATTCATCTGATACAAATTTATTTTGGTGACGTTCACTTTAAAATACAGGTCTGTAGTAATGGCAAATGCTCATCTTCATTAGCCGGGTTGCTTCAGAGATGTAAAACTTTAATTTTATTTCAATAACACAATATCAATATGTATCATAGGCTTACACATGTGTATTTAAAATTATCCAGCCAGAATGGATATTATTCCAAATGTTTTTATCAGTGGCATCTTTAAGAGTTTGGTTTTTATTGTATTTTAGGAAAGTTATCAACAGAGTATGAATGGCCAGCTGAGTAGTTATCAAACAGAAAATACCAAACTAAAACAACAGGTACATGTCATACAGATTTTGAACAATTTACTTTTTTTATACCCATTATGTAGTGACTACTCAGGCCACAACATTTGAATTAAAAATTGATCTTTCTGCAAGGGAAAAAACTACTGGTACAAAACAAAGTACTGGTACACATTGTTAAATTTTAAACAAAACATCATTCACAAGACTGAAGTGGCTGTTTATCAAGACTTTGAACTCTGAAGAAGTAACAATGAAATTTGTTTGGTTGGCCTAATGTGTTGACTGCTAATCAATAGATGTGATGACTGTAGGCAAATGTACCTCTAATTATACATTTACCATTTACAATAGAAGATACATCCTTCCTATTGAAATATCTCTCTATATTTATAAGAATAGTACAAGCTTAAAGTTTATTTATTTTCAGTTGGCAACCATTGAGGAAGAGAAGAAAAATGACGAAGAATCATATCAACAGACGATTAAAACATTGGAGGAAGACAAACAACAATTAACCAATGAGAATGAAGCAGAAATACGAACATTAACATTAGAAAAACAAAGTTTAACAGCCCAGATAGACATCTTCCATCATCGACAGGTCAGAATACTTTCATTTTATTTTGAAATCTCAAAGGGAACTGACATTTCTATTTGCTGTGTGTATAGCTGGTTATGAGACACTGTGCATGGTTAATTGACCACTTATTATTCCACTTCCTTAAAGACCTTCTCATTAAATATGATATATAATTATTGTTTATATAAACAGATAAATAAATTTGGTCATTTTTCCCGGTAATGATTATTTATGGACTATAAAAAAATTTGCAAATATCACGATGTGGAAGTGGACATTAAAACATGAGCTTACAAATTAACTAAAGGTTAAATCCTCTTGTTACATTAGAAAATGGAATATGAACAAAATAGTACACCCCATTAAGTGTTAGATGTTTCACTCTTACTTGACATAGTCAGGAAAAAGTTTGATTTATTCAGAGTTTAGCTTCATGTTTTGAAATCTAGAATCTTTGTAGGATTTCTGAAAGAAAACAAAATACATACATGTACATGGATTCATGTAAGAGTAAGACCAAAATAATTTTAACTTTAGTTCTTTGGGGTCTTGATGAATAGACTCTGTTTATTTTAATTTCATAACTTTAAAATGTGGAGTTAAGATCTTTGAGAAGAGCAAACAAATATTTTTTTGGCTGTGAAAATCAAAATTCTAATAGGTGGCCCTGAAATACATTACATGAACTGTGTGATAAATATATTTTGAAATATCTATATTTTTTTATCTCGTATTTTAAGGAATTAACCCAGAGTACGATATCTGATCTTGGTAAACAGATTGTTAATTATGAAACACAGCGTGTTCAGTTTGAGTCTAAATGTCGCGACATGGAACAACGACTTCAAGCTCTCACTCAACATGAGAAGAAACTCAAAACAGAACTCGAAAGATCAACAAAGCTAAACACACAGGTTTGCTATTTAAAAATTCATAATCGTCCATGGGACGTTCTCTTGATTCGTAAAAAATTGGAGGGGTATTACATGTCAGCTAAGGGAGAAGAGTTGTTAGTTGAATAAAAAATCCAAACCTTCCGCCAAACGACATCTTCAATAACCTTATGCTAAAAGTCACTTATCTGTCTATAATGAAGCAATCAAACCTGCATGATAGAGACTTCAATGAAAATTGTCCAATGAAATTCTACAGAATTTGTAATCTGCCCCCATTTTAAGACAACCTAGTTCGGAGCAGATCAGTAGGACGTTAAACCCCATTCCATTTCATTTTGAAACAAACATACCAGTGATTTATTTCTATGGTTACGTGTGGTAAGAGGATTTTTTTCCATCTATTCTTCTATTCCCAACTGTTCATGGTTCTTCTCCACGCACCCGGAACATTCCAATTGAGATTCCAGTCCCCGGACTGCTTGATTTTTTTTTTAGTTCAGATAATGTTTATAGCATCCATATTTGCAATGTGTTAGTGTTTATTAACTTATTACTGTCCAACCTCGTGTGTTTTCTCCGGGTCCTCTGGGTCTTCCCGTTCCCTCCATATTGATAATGACCTCTACGCGCAAGCAAATTATTGAAATAAAATTGTACCATATGTTAGTCCTGAAATGACCTAGTTTGTGTCGAGTGGGCGTTAAACCCCATTTCTCTCTCTCTCTCTCTCTCTGTTAACTTATTAATATATTTATATGTTTAGCTTGAAAATTCCTCGAAAGAATCGATGAAGAAATTACAAGGTTATGTTGAACGTGAATTAAAACTGATTAAGAATCACGATAAAGAGATGAGTCAGGCGAATGATATGAATCGTAATCTGATACAAAAACTAGAAATAAAAAAACAACAAATAGAATCACTACAAAAATCTCATAAAGAGGTAGGTACTTCTCCTTTATTTTGAAGCTGGCAAGCCTGGAAATCCAGCATCTGTCATAGACATTAGACAGAAATTCAGGCTTTGTCCACCACACATATTTGTTATTTTTTAATGTTTTTAATAATATTGTTTAAATCTAATACATCTCGGACATAATGATTAAATGTTGATATTTTTTTTTCTGCCTGGTCTAATAATAATTGTCTGAATTATAAATATTATCAACCTTTCCTCTATTAGGTCATACACAAAATAAAATATTTCAAATATTAAAATAATGATTTTGTGCGTTTCTTCAAAATGAAAAACGAGCTAGATTTTGACAAAAGAAAAACAAAAAAAAACCTCCCTCCCGCCCGCATTAAAGTAGCTAAGTCTCTAACTCAGTATCATCCAAAGGCTTCTACATTGAAAACACGAATTATTTGTCAATATTAATCAACATTGATGTTGTGATCTTACCGGGAAAAAATGGGCTTCTAATATCCAATATTTAAGACAAAATAGACATTTCATCATTGGTACACGAATCGTGTACCAGAATGCATTTCAGTGCCATTTGTAACAAGGGACTCAAAGAACGAGGCTAGACATATTTCATAAGTCATGTCAAACGGTGACGCAATATTCTTAACTGAAGAACATGCTCAATAAATACTATTGGTGTAGACTAAAATAACCAGACGCTAGACATTGTCATTTGATTAAGACTTCTGGCGTATTTCGCCTAACATAATTGCTTTGAAATTAGAGTAAAACGGAAACAATTGAATGTTAATCAGTTTATATTCATTGGTTTTACATTATTATATGCGTTGTGACACATTTGTGACAATTTCTAGATCCCAAATATTAGCTATTTAGCTCCTTTAAGGTTTTGAAAAGGATTGTCTGAGAACCAGAATATTTTTTTTTGTGTGGCCTTATGACATTCTCTACACAATGTTTAGATAACTAAACAATAGTCACTAGATAATTACTGTGTAATAATACATGTACCTAATCATTCAACCATAATATATTTTTAATTGATTTTATTTGTGTTTATTTACAGGAAGAGAAAACTTTACAATCAAATCTAGAACAACGTTATAATCACCATAAAGACAGTCTTTCTACGTTAAATAATGCGCTGGAAGTACAGAGAAAAATGGCTGACAAATATAAACAACGAGCAGAGAAAGCTGATCATGATTTAACGAAAATGATGGAAGAATCAGCTAAATTCAAAACATTAGGTACGTTCTGTTTAGTAATTAACATATCATAGACATCGTGTAAAAGGGCCATGGTAGTGGAGTGATCAGAGTTCTTGACTATATACAAGAATGTAACAAGTTCAAATCCTGGGAATTGGGTTGTCTAGTGGTTTAACTTGTGCGCATAATATCAATTAAATCATAAGGTCTGTCATTGAGTCAAGTGGCGTGGTTTCTAATCCAACCTCCTGGGTTTTCTCAGGTTTCCTGCCACTGCAAAAGAACCCTACGCACAAGCGTATTATTGCAATAAAATTGAACCATATGTTAGTCCCAAAATGACCTAGTTTGAGCTGACTGATTGTTAAACCCCATTTTATTGTTTTTACCACACCTGAGTGGACGTTAAACCCCATATCGCTCTCTCGAACTCACAAACTCTCAAATCCTGGGTGGATAGAGAGGAATATTTTAATGTCTGGTTGCCACTTGGCAGGGGTAGTAAGGAGAGGATGTCTAGTCATTTGGATTGGAGAAAAAATCGAGATGCAGCCATGTTCACATAAAAAAAAACAACCTTGTCCTGTCAAACTGTAGCATTGCACATGCAACCATAGACGAAATAAATAAGCTTACGTTAGTTTCATAATGTCTGAAATATTGTGTTAAATAAAGTCCATTCCATCATATTACACAAGTCAAATTTATGTATGCTTAAAAGCAAAATCTAAATACCAACATTTTTTATTCATTAGCATATTACAACTTTCTCTGAACAATTATTTGTAAGAATTATAACATAATCAGAAAAAATATATGGTGTTATTCCGTTTCCTTAAGGAACCAAAGACAAAGTCCTCAAGTTTTGTAAATTGACATGTGTTGCATTTTTCTGTATTTGATTGTTTACTTTCAGGTCAGAAAGTTTGTAGTTTAGAAGCTCAGTTAGAACACGCAAATCGGCAAGTTCGTGAATATCGCCATCAGTTAGATTCAGCAGGAACAGCTTTACTGGGTGATTCATCAGCTTTTAGACAGGAGATTGAGGGTCATAGTAGTGAGAGTTTAACAGGTAATAATTCAAACATAAACTTACAACTTACTAATTGCAAATGAAGATCAAGTAACCAAGATCACCTGATTGGTAGCTATTAGAGCAGTCACATTTTCATTGCATTTAAAGTTCACTTTAACTGGATTTAACATTAAATACAACATGACCGTTTATTTATTGATGTTAATGGTGTAAATTGAAGTAAAACCTGTCATATGAATATGGTGACATAATTATTCACATACTGTTTCTGTTTCAATATAAAGGTGTGGTGCCTGTTATTATTCTGTGGTTACAATTTCTATTTATTTATTTAATGGGTCCTTTGTTTAATGTTTTTAGATGTCAGTCTCAACGATTCGTTAGAAGATACGATGGACATCACTGCTCGTAAAATTAAGTCACATGACGTTAGTTCAACCAGTAGTAAACCATCGTTTGCATTGACAGACACAGAGAGTCGGAGATTCAGTTTACTGTCATTAGCAAGGTTAGTATATTTTATCCATATTATTAAAGATAGTTAGGGAAGAAAGGATCTGGAATCTTGTGAAATATTGTTAAAAAAAAGCCCCCAAACTGTGATGCAATTTTTTAAAGTAATTTTTAACAAAATGATGAAAATTTAAAGTTGAAGAAAGCTAGTGTAAAATTTTAAAAGCTGGTAAATTTTTAGCAATGTATGAACCCTACAAAAAATTGTGTAAGATGTTTTCTAGGAAAATAAACATGTCCCTTCTGCTTTCTTATTGCTTATAAACAACATGTAAAGACGTTTAGACCATACATAATAAACGAAACGTCACTCGTATATATATTAAAAACCATATTGGTACCAAAATTGTTCAAATGGCTTAATTGTAAAATAAATATTTGTCATACGTTATTTTCTATTAATTTCCACATCACCTGCTTTATTATATCATGATAATCGTCTGTTGACAAAAAAGCTGTATTGACCTTCTGATGCAGTGGTTTATTTTAATGGAGTGAAGGTTTGATATGGATTAGCATAGAGAAAGCCTACAGATGGCCAGACATAAACACTATTTGATATATCATCAGAAGTTGTAAAACATTTTATATTTTTCAGTTCAACAAGTACACTAGATAGTCGTAAATCAACCACATCTCTTGCTAGTCACATGACTTTACGTAGTCGATCAAGTGATAGTAGATCGTCACGTCAGTCTATGTTAGCTGTACCACGTAAGTTTTCATATATTTATAACTTGATGTATATATACCTCCATGTACATTTGTTTAATTAATGACTAGTGAGATCTGCTGGTAGTTGCTGATCTTGTATCCCATTGGATAGTTCGCAATGCTCCTTGTATATATATATATATATATATATATAATTATATATCCTTCTTGGATTTATCATTTCATTTTCTGCTTGATAACGACTTGTGAAATCTTGTTGAAACCATAGTAATTGTTATCCATACATAGTGTGTTATTTGATTATGTATAGATTGTTGTGGAATTGCAACACTATTTAATAAATTATAAATAGCAAAAATAAAAGATCACAGTAAAGTTATAAAAATATCAATAGGGAAAAATGTTTTAATAGATGAAAACATGCATTGTCTAAAGTAAAAAGGCTAGAATTATTTCGCTGATTTCAGAATTCAGTAAATGATTAATGAGGTACATAGATCTACAGGGATTAATTAGTAATACAGTGCTTGATACCAAATTTACTTGCCTTTGGCAAGGTGTATTTTCTCTTGATTTATTATATTGTGGGTTGACCATGAAAGAAATGTTGTAATTAAAAGAACCCTTGACAGCTGAAGTAAGAGTAGGTTGTAGCACCGCTGTCTAGGCAAAATTTCCCTTATACCACACTGCATGGCATGTGCCTGTCTTCATTAGCCTAGTCGGAGTAGAACCATAGGACGTTAAACTCCATTTCATTTTTGTAAGCTGACAATGTTTCAAGTGTATTAATTGTTATTGTAGATGGAACTGGTAACTTGTTTTCATGCGAAGACGAACCGTTTGATGATTACGAATGGAACAGATTGAGTGAACTACAGCGTAGGAATACGCTATGTCTTCCTCACATGAAGTCATCGTATCCCGTGGAGACACAGACTGTAAAACTGGACGAAATGAATGACGAGAATTTACGTGAAAGTCAATCTTCAGACAGTGGTTCCATGTCTGGTAGAAAACGTAAAACTGAGAAATGGGAACTTGAACACAATAACACGATAGTTGATACGAGTAAACAGGTCGGTATATTTATTGTGTGTCTGATACTCGTTCAAATTATTGACAGATGCATGAACTACTCATTCAAATTAGTGACGACATATCCCACCAATAGTTTATCAGGCGAAAAGGGACTGGGAAGAAAAAATGTTGTGTCATTTAGATGGGTCAAATTTTCAGTTCAATTTCACAATATTCTAGTTTGCATGTGATCCAAAATCCCTCAAAGTCAAATAACGATCAGCAGATTTAACATGGCCTCATCTAATTATAATTCTTGTCCAATACCAAAAATCCCTGCATTTTCCTTACATAATATGTAATGCATGAACCGTAAAAAAAAACAAATGGAGTATGTTCTTGAGCTTAAAATGAAAATATGGATTAAAAATTATATATATTTTTGACGGTACAATTTTAATAACAGTCTAGATAAAAGGGTATATTTTTGATAGTAACATAATCCAGATACATTGAATAAGCACAATGTATATTTCTAGGCTCGTCACGGAAGTACTATTTACCACAAACCTGGACCTCCGACACCTGGAGCTCGACCTAACAGTAAATCACCACAGCATAAATCACCCAGAACACCCCGTGGACGTACGAAGAAAGACACAAAAACCCCTAAAAAGAAAACCCCTAAAGCTTCACCGAAAGAAAAGAAGGTGAGCAATCACTAACCAAATTAAGTAAAATTGTCCTAAATAAAGACTAACCCCTTCGGGAGTGCCAAAAATGTTTTTACCTTCCATTACTGAGATCACTTGCTGCACCACTGATGTTAATTTCATGATGCATTCATTTCTTGTTTAGAACTGAATTCCGGATCCTTCAATCAAGTATCTGACTTATTTACTGCTTGCCTTCCCACTGTATAAACTTCAATACTGTCAATCAGATGGTTGTCAGTATCTCTCTACCTAATAGGACTGTGTATTGTGGCCAAAAATCGTATTGCAAAATACTTGACAAAAAGTATTGCAATACTGCAACTTCGATAAAGTCAGTGTTTATCACAGAGCACAGTTTTATTTTGAATAGTTGTTTTGTTTTTACAACTTTGGTCTTGGACACTTTTTGTTTTTGTTTTCTGCAAAGCCTATATTATGACTGATTTTAGTAAATACACATTTCACTTTATTTGTTTTTACAACTTTGGTTGTGTCTTTGACTCTTTGCAGCTTATTGTTTACTGCAAAGCCTAAATAATATCAGTCATATTACTGATTTAAAATCTTTATAAATTGTCTAGTCTAGCTAACATTTGAATATAAAAGAAAAGTAGAAAAATATCGATACAGCAAACATGTATCGATACAGTGTATCGCGGACGATTATATTGCAATATATATAGATAAAGCATTATTTTTTTAAAAAAGCCCTATTGCCTAAATAATGTGTATGCTCTCCCAAATGAAGGCCCTAGGTTCAAATCCCCATTAGATAGGAACTACCTATCACTGTAGTTTCCCTCTTAGCACACTGTATGTTGTATGCCTGTTTTCATTAGACAGGAGCCCATCCATCACTGTAATTTACATCATAGCACACTGAATGTCGTATGTCCGTTATCATTAGCCTTGTTGATGCAGAAGGACGTTAAACCCCATTTTATTTTAAGCTGATTGTTTGTTTATTTAATTGACCAAACATTTATCACTAGAATAATTAATTTTGTCTTTTTCTTTCAGAAAAGTGCTAGAGACAGTATCGCATTCAGCATCGGTTTCTCACCCAAAACTCGACTTCCAAAACGTTTAACGCGACAGACTGGATTTGTGAAAACCGAAAAGACGGAAGCCAAACAGTCGCCAGCCAAACAGGTCAGTCGCCTAATTCAAATCTTCGAGACAGGAAATGTCAAAAAAATATCCTCTGTACCTACATCTTTACCAAAATCCTTTTTAGATGATTTAGCTGTGGATCATTCAGCCAAAAAGCTTTCGAAGGATCTTAAAATATCGGATAGTAAGTCACCTAAAAAACGCCATACAAACCTTGCCGGATGTTTTACTCCCACAAAAAAACATAGGAGCAGAATTGAAGAGATTAAGAGGGCTGGGAATTTTACGCCTGTCAAAAATTCTTCGAAAACATTTATCAAAGCATTATTAATGAGCTCAGAGAAAAAAACTCCAGTGAAAAAAGTTAGTAATTTTTTCGTGAAGCTTCGAACTCCACGAAAAATATTTCCTGAGTGAGGTTAAAAGTATTAACAATATTGAACTAGATGTATTGGTGGATGTTTACAATAAAGCTTTTTTAAATATTTCAAACAATAGCTGTCTTTTAGCTCAATTATTGACGATCCCTTCAAGAATAAGTATTAAGCATTTTGTTAAAAAAACAAAAAAACCTAGAACTATATTTATGCATTTGTTTTATTGTATTATTGCGTGTCTAGTTGTTTGGGTGGCACAAAAATCTGAGGCATAGTCATTTGCTGAGAGTTAGAAATTAAACAAGTGTAGGTGCCGCTGTCTGGGCAAAATTCTACTACCTCTTATTGTTCTTTAAAGGAATTGATACCATACCATAATCGTAGATGATAAATTTCTTTGATTTCTATGTCAATGAAATTTCATAAATGCCAAGCAACTATACCAGTGCTAAAATTTGATTGTGTATTGAACAATAATATTGAGACAGTCAACGTTAAATTTTTTTGTTAAATAGTTGATGTTTAGTGTATTTTCTGGCCACACGATAAACTCAAGTCCTATTTTGTCTGTTGATTTCTAATTTTTGTAAAAACAGAAAAAGTATAACAAATATCATCGTTAAGCTGTGATAATTAGGTGAGATTAATTAACATAAATAATTAATTCTTATAACATCAGTTGAGTTTTGACACATGTCAAGGTTTTCACAGATTGATTTTAGTCACTATTTCACTGTTGAGGATTTAAGAAAAAGGGACATGCACATTGAGTTGAGTTACCTTCTGTCAAATTCTGAGTTTTAGCACTTTTCAAGTTTTGTCCTATTTACACAGATTCAGATTCACTGTTATTTACTTCAACATTTTAATTTTAAAAATATTGCAGTTTATTTTCAATATTTGTAGGGTGGTTGATTGGTCTAATGTGTGCGCTTTAGATCACAAGATCTGTCATTGCATCAAATGAAATTGTTTCGATCCCAAGCTTGTATGTGACAATTAGTATGGTTGGCTGCCCAACCTCGTGGGTTTTCTCCAGGCCCTCTGGGTTTCCTCCCAAAAAAAAATGTACCTTATGTTAACCATGAAGGATCCTAATGTGTGTTGAGTGGATGTTATAACCTATTTTTTTTCTCTCTCTCTCTCAGTAATATTATCAACATTAAACTGTTTACACTCTGCACATATTATAATATGTTATTGATTTTGTTTCACCAACACTTTTTTTCTTTTTATCACACCTGTCTACCTTTTGACAAACTGTATTTGACTTGAATTTTGTTTAATTTATAAAGAATATTTGTTAAAATACTGAGGTAATAATATGTACATGTACCAGTATTGTTTATTGTTGTCTTGTGTTTGTATATTGTACACAGTAGACAGCTGACCAATGTTTATCAATATATTGATTTGAAATATTCATAGATTCTAGAAATCTGAAAATGCACCAAAAACAGCCCAACAATTCATCATTTTAATTGATTGTCAAGAAATCTTTGACCAATGAATTTGAATAAACATTACATGTGACCATGAAGACTTGCCTTGTGGCTAATAACCATAACAATTTCCTTGTGACTTTTATCATGAAATCTGTTCATACCAATTATAATTGTTGCTGAAAAGTCACGTGTGTAGCAAGTGGCAGGAGTTACCTATAAGAATAAGATGTCAAGGAGTTTAATATGACATTTCATTTAACCGTTACACAACTTTGTAACCAGTCAATGTTAAAATTAGACTTCCAAGAGAACAAAATTAAATATTGTATTTTTATTCCATGTGTTTATTTTTGTGTTTTTATTTTTCAGGGAAAAAGGAAGCCACTTGGTATATTGAATCACTTCATGCAGACTGGTGTATAATGCTTCATATATCTCCTACATTTTTTTAATTTCAACTTTTAGTGGTCATTGAAATCAATTTTATATTCATTTTAATTTATTTTATTTTGTAGTTATAATTTATAATCATAGTCAAAAATGGGTTGGAAATATGTTTTTCTTCAATTGACGAAATCGTATCTTAATCTTAGAATATTTTTTTCTTCGTCTAACCTTGGTGTTTGTGTTTCTGCTTTTAATTTAATCTTGTCCTAGTTGAAATAAAAGCAATTTCAATCTTCACGCACCCAAACCAATGATTGTGATGATCATTTGACTTATGCAATATTTATTAAAGGGATCATCTGGTGAATAGTGATGAGAGCTATTGTTTTATTTGTGTATGAAAAGTTTTATTGTAAATATTAACCAGACATTTTCTCATCATCATGTCTTCTTTCAACCATATATAATTCTTTTCTCTTTTGTATAAACTTCTGTTGTCTGTAAATCATGTAAAATAAAAAATGTAAACAAATAATTGTCCGATCAAAAAAAAAAACAATTCATGTGTGGTTGTGACTTTGTAAACTTCTGTAAATATGTCATCCTTTATTTTTGTATATCTCAATGGTGCTAAAAAAAAAATAATATTTAACAACTCATGTCTTCTTTTCATGTACCTCATGGATACTAATATCCTTCAATGTGTTCAGTAAACAGAATAATAAGGCATTTAATAGTTTTTGAATCTCAATATTTGCCTCCAGTGTCAGTTAATGTAATTATACCAATTTATTTGCAGATACAACATATTCCTTATTTCATAAATACAAAAAAAATGTCTTCTATTCTTTATGCCTATATTACTGGTTATATGTAAATGCTAATGAAATATAATTGAGTTATAATTATATAAGCTTAGTTATGGACTAATTGTTAAAATGAAATATATGTATACATAATCAAACATAGTAGTTTATTATAAATAATGTGTATCAGAAATTAAGTTTAAAGGTATATGTTAGTTATCTCCCCCTGCTGTCTAGTATATGTTAGTTACCTCCCCTTCTGTCTATCTGTTGTATTTTCTATATAAAACCTCTCCTCTTCTGTGTATATATATTATATAACTATATGTTACATGTAGATATTAAAGCAATAAATTGCCAAAACAATCAAAAGATATAATGTATACTTTTATTCTTAAAGGGGAAGTCCAAGATCTGTTAATGAAGATTTTTTTGAAGTATGAAATATTCAAATCAAAATATTAAGCCATTCAGAAATATTGCTAGATTTGTTTATTGGGGGTTATTAAATTCATTTAAGGATTTGGATTCTTCGGTTGCATGGAATTTATTGACAGTGTTTAAGAAGCGGGCTCACTAACCAGCAGGTCTGGGGTTCTATCTATCATGGTGGTGATTGAGAAAGTGCCCTGGATTTTTCAGCACGGTGGTCTCGTTGGCATGCCCGTAAAAGAACTTTTGACAGTTGGAATTTATAATGTTGTTTATACGTTTTACATATACATAAATGATTATATGATATAGAGATGGATATTGCAGTAGACATCGCTTCCCAGGTTATGGTAGTCTCCAATATCCAGGCCAAATTTCCCCCCATAGCACGCTATATGGTGCATGTCCATCTTAATTAGCGAAGATTGGTGCATCAAAGTAGGATGTTAAACCCATTTCTTTCATTGTATGGAATTTGGGGCCAACTCCACTGAAAGAAGAGAGGGTCTAATTTAAGGAGATTGAACACCACATTAATTAGAAATGGTTCCACTACTGATGTCTTCCGCCTTACTCCAGCCATAGTAGTGGCTCGTCCTACGGAGTTCCTTTGCTTCCTTTGCGCAAGTTTTTTAGTCAAATGACTACAAAAAGGTTACTGGCCTATAGCTCCCTTAATTTACACATAAACTGACCCAAAACTGTACTGCACATAGCTTAACATATAATAAACCAATTCTCATTGAAATAAAGGTGAAGCCTTACCGCATAATGAAATGAAACCCAACTGCTACGTGAAATTTCTCGCTTACCGAACTTATTTTAACTGGCCAGTGTCATGGCGGCTTTCACATTATAAGAAACATGGCTTTGAAAATGTAGAACGCATTACCACAAAGAAAAACTGTTCGGTAACTATTTTAGTGGTCCAGTCTTCAATATTTGTGATGGAATTACTTATTTCAATACAAACTGTAATGATATGTGTTGACAATTGTGCGTTTGAACCTATTTGAACTTGCGTAAGAAGTCTTAGACTATCAATTGTAGTGTTAAACACAGTTTAACGATACATTTAATTGTAGCTACACATTAATTAACTCGAATGTCCCATCAGGGTATTCAATAAACATGGTTGGTTATGGTGCACATTCTGAACATTGTTAAATATTCTGTCTTCCGACATCAAAAGAGCAATGCTTGTTACAACAAAACGTGCTTAGATGTCAAATTGTGTCTATCAGGTAGTCCTTTCAAACTGAGACTAGTGTATGCAAAAGGAGAAAGATGTAGTTTAACATCCACTTGACATATGGTTCAATTATATTTTAATAATTATCTTGCCCGTAGTTGTCATTATCAGTGGAAGGACCCATAAAAAACCTACCATGTTGGACAGCGATGTGACACTAGTCCTCATCATTACACGCAGGGAATGTAAACCAACCAACACCGCCCCCCCAGTCAAAAATTTCCCTGTACGCCTATGTGTAAAAGGAAATCAACACATCTCTTTGCAGTTGAAAAACAAGTAGATAGGAATGCCTCACACATGTAATAACAGCAATAAATTTACCATTAATTATGTTACTAACAGTCTCAAAATGATTGAAACGTTGAACTTCATGCCACTCCATCTCATCATATGGCCTGTTTTAAAACTGTGGTTTGTATTGCACCTTACTTAGGGTGAACTTAGGCATATCAATAAAGTCAGTTTTTGACATCAAACAATCACTCATTGAAAGTGATCCCAGACACCCAATGTTATGAATTGTAATATATATGCTATGATCCTGTTTTTTTGATTTGTTGCTATATAAATGGACATATTATTCTATGGACTACAGTCATGTATCATAATGTGATGTATCATCATCCAAGCTCACACATCCAGATAAATATTAATCAAATTATTTAGAGTTGTGTCCCTCAGACAACCAATTTCAAAAGAGGAAAGCTTGAGTTGAAGAAATAACATATGATATTTGATGTAATTTTATTAAAATATTTGAAGATAGAATATGACGAGATGTACACATAATAAAATATTGCTGATTTTTACATTAAAAATATCGAAAACTCAAAGCTAGAAAAAAATTTCATCTCATCGAAAAGCCCCAGACTTTATGCCTTATTGTATCGCAGGTTTGTTTCCTCTAAGAGTAACTTAGCAATCATGCTTTAAATCTTGTAAAAATTCTAGCCAGATTAAAAACAGTAGTCATTGAGAAAAGGTTACTTCACATAATTCATTGTTTAATATACATATTACCCTAGAAACAGATCTATATCTACAATACAAACAATAGCATATTTTAAGCAGGCTGAAAATGTCTATATATGTTAGGGCCTACAGTTGCAATATTAATTTCCTGATTTTAAGAAATAATTCTGTTCTTCACTTGTAAAGACTAAAACTAAGAAGATTGTAAATTGATGTATAATTTATTCTACCTTTTGAATTTCCATTCCTTCCTTTCAAATTAACTGTTAGTGATGAATACATTCCTCTGACCCACACTAAATGTTATAAATATCGAAATAAGAACAATGTGGACATACATGTAATGACTTTTTACTGTAGAATGCAAGTTGAATTTTGTGTACTGAGTAAAATGTGAGTTGACTTTTGTGTATTATGTAAAGAGATCTGATAAATTATCACCACCTTCCATTTAGTACATGTCCAATATTCCTTATCCAATGTAACCAATCAGAAGACAGTTAAGAGTGCGAAAACACCATAAACCAGAGCACAAGGGTAGGCTACGAGTAATTGTTGTTTATCCATAGCGAGAGCCGAGACGAATAATTTAGACGCTGATATGCTGCACCATAAAACAGTTGCTATCGTAAACACCATTCCCACAATACCTCTGAAAATAAAAATAATGCCACCATGAAATTTTCAATGAGTTAGCAAAAACATGCGCGTTAAAAAAAACCCCTATAAACTTTTAAAGTGGCCAACATTAGAAACAAGTGAGTCACATTAGTGGTGAGCCGTAAGTTGCATGGGACATGGTATCGGATGTTCTAGAAAGGGTACATATACCCTGTAAATTGCTCTGTGACTCCTATCAGTACAAGACTTTTCCCCGGCATGCCCTTGGTTCTGTGCAACTAACCAGAGAGGAAACTTTTCTCGGCCAAAACTGGGGTCGAACCCATAACCTACTGGTTAGTGAGCCAGTGCCTCCCCCTTGTTAGATTCTGACCATGGTGAATGAAGTAAAAATCTAAAGAACCATTTATTGACAATATTGTTCAGTCCATGTAAATGTGACCATCAATACTTACTGTAGAGACATGACAACAGTAGACTGATACTTACTGTAGAGACATGGCAACATTAGACTAAGACTAACTGTAAAGATATGACCACAGTAGGCCAATACTTACTGTAGAGACATGACAACTGAGGTAAAAGACAGGACGATCATGGGTAATAAACAGTAGCCTAGAACACTTGTAATACATCCCACTGATACTCCTGTCATACTCATTAGATTTAACAACATATACATAGCTAAACATCCCACTACACCAATACCATATATATAACCAAAGTGCAGTTTACCAGACTGAAATTATACAATTAGAGAAATTAAATTAATTTCTATCCTGTGCTGAATAAAGCCGAGGGGGTGAAATATCAAATAATTTTTTCGCAGCAAAAATCATTCTATATCTATCTTATTTCGCACTTGTTTTCGTTTCTGGAATAGAAATCATTCTTGTAGTACAGTATACTTCGCATAAGTCGGATCTAAATGGACTGACCAATTTTATCCAAGTTACGCGAAGATCCGAGTTAGCCGAAGACCTAGTTCAGCTCAAAACGTAGGTCTCATTATTGCCCTGTACGTTCAGGAACCATCCTATTGAATCCTTGTCGAAATAAAATCAGTTCCTGGTCAATTTTACTGGTCAACTTTTTTACTGCTAAATGGTCGTGTGTCAGTCTCAGTAAACGCCTGAACAATGTAATTTGTTATTTGTAAAGGAAAATTTTAGGGAGAAAATAAGACCTTGCTTATCTCGCTAGAGTCGGTATCTGCAACCCAACATGCTGATAAATATCCGTCCCCTTCTGCTAAACGGCTTTGGCGGACGCCATTGAGGTCTAGATGTGGGGTGGCGTATGGATTTACGTGGCTTGGCCATATAAGACGAAACGAAATTTAAGTAAGATGGGGTGGGGAAAAATTAGAATCGTTGAAAAGCTGAGAAACTTCAGTCAATTATTGCTTTGCCTAGCCCAATGTAGCAATATAGTCGTGGCGACATTGTTTTTAAATTTATAGACAAAGAATAGAGAAATAAGATGACTTTATATTTCATTAATTAATATATTTGACAAATTAATAGTTTCACACATATTCACATATATATTATATATAGTGTGTACTAAATCAACATAGGGTATCAATGACATATTGTTATATAAAAAAGAGTTATTTAGCCAAAACATGTGTCTATAAAATACCACAGAGAGCATGTGTGCAAGGAAAAGTACTATTGCGTCATTGGGTTTAATTTAACCAATCATTTTGTTAATTACACAAGTTCAGGGCCATGAACACGCTTTGTTATGCATGATATACGTGAGTGCTATATAATATATCTATTTGAAACTGTAGTCTTATTAAAGATCACCAGAAAGTAAACACAACAAGAAGAAGTAATATAGTACTACAACAATTACAAATTGTTTCAAAAATTCCAAATTCGTTTCGTCTTATAATTATATGACCGAGTTGCGCAAATTTGTGCGATGTCCTGTATTTGGATTTCAATGACGTTAGCCAGGCCGTTTGGCGGAGAAGAACATATTTTTAACAGCATGTTGGGAACATACTGCCAATCGTGAACATACTGCTAATCCGACTTAGGCGAAGGAAAAAAGCTGGAATTAAATCAAATGGACCGAACATTTTGATCCGAGTTGAGCAAAGATCCGCCTTAGGAAATCCGACTTACGCGCAGAAACTTAATAAGAAAAGCGTGCAATATCAAAATGTCCAAACGATTTTCTCTGAGTTGAGCGAAGATCTGACTTAAACGAATCCCACTTATGCGAGGTTTACTGTAGTTGTGCTTTTTGCCAATAAATTTATCTGCTGAAAGCATAGATCGTTCATTATCGTAGCAACGGTACTTGACAACCGAGACTTAGGCTTGATTGTCCATTTTATAGTTAAACTTTTAAATCTTGTGGATGTTTAAATCCATTTAAATCTCTGTTATCAGATGCTCTAAAGAGTTGATCATGGGCTTGATATGCGAATAAATATCTAAATAATAATTTAAAGCCAAAAGAAAGACCTGCAATGGGCAGATTTAGCTCTTACATAATGTATCTTTAAGTTTTGATCTAGGAACATTATGTTAGGTTGCCATTTCTCTCTAGTGTTCTAGACGTGAAAAATTAGACCCATAATTACATTACAATCCAAAGAAGAACATCAACAAAATTAAAATGACACTTCAGTCTGATAATGAGTTTTGTTTTGAGTTCTGCATTCTGAATTTTTGCACCTCTTAAGCAAGGACCTGACTATACCACTCTTCTTGTTGGTGTTTACACGCTATATGACCCAAACAGCTAGAGTATTTTACTTTCCATATGCTGCAACAACATCTTGTCAGTTATCACTGCTCAAACAACTACTGGTAGGAATGGAAAGACGAAATTTACAGTGTTAAAGTCCTCATGCACCGTTTTAGTGCTACATGAATCACTTGCAAACTATAATATTGTGAAAGATGAATCCCAAATAGCAATATCAGTCCAAAAATAGTTTAATTCCGTTGAGTATTTACAAAAATATCCGAAATCAAAATGTAAATGATCTGTCCTGCTTCACTATGTAATAAGCTCCCACCATTTTGTTGTCCATGAAAATTTATTGGTAGGCTTTTTGTAAATCTGACTGAATCCAAAATATTGAATTTGTTTTCTTCATTTTACAAATAATCAATCTGAGTTCATATTAGCATGGATTCAGCCATGAGAAATTTGACATTTTATCGAATCGTTACTTTAATAATACATATAATTTACTCACCAACATAAGAGATGCACCAAAAGCTAAACAGAATACTAGAGGACCAGCTAAATCGGTATCTTGCATGATGGTATGATCAGCTGATTTTAACGGATTTAAAACAGTCATAGTCTGAAAAATAAACACATATACATTGATTAGACATTGCAAAAATAATCAAATAGAAAACGAGTAATTCTATTCAGCTATAATCGCATTATGTACAGTCTCAAAAGCTCTTTGAGAGATTAATGCCGATCTAAAGTTTTAAAAAAAAGGTTCTTGGAGATCGTCTACAAGTAGTAGATAGCAACCGTTTTGCAGGTTGTTAATCAAAATAAAAAACTAAATTGAAATACATTTACCATAGTATCATTTTTATATTGAATCAAAATAAGGCTTTTGAATCAAGACAACAAATTTAATGTTCCATGTCAACTGGACTAAGTAGAAAAACCACCCATATTTTCACTAGTCAATGTTTGGGGATCACAGTGGATCAATCAGTAAAATGCTATCTCACTAAACAGGAGGTTTCGGGTTTGATCCTAGTCTTTTACCATGAAAGTTGCTCTGAATTTTTAGCCTAGATTCCCCATGCTCAGTAGTGCAAGAATTATGTGTAGTGGTTTGGATGGGACAAAAAATGTGTATCATTGCTTGATAACGGTGAGAATACCCTCATTGAAACATTAATAAACCAAGTGAATGTTATCCATAAAGCTGTCTATTATTATATGTTTATGAAAAAAAAATAAGCTAGTTCTTAAAACCATATTTTATGGCTCCTACTTGCTAGTCCTACATTAGCTAATACCTAATGTCACAGTGTGTTAAACACATATATATGTCCTTAAATCTCTTTTAATACAGTACCATTATATTTACAGATATTCTCTTATAATATTTGTTAATAACAGGCCAACCATTTAATCAGTTACAATAAAAACTCATACAATTTACAAACAGACTAATTCAAATCTCTAAGTGTCATAAAACTACCCAATTTTACACTCTTGATGACTCACTGTTATAAATTGTCCAATAATTGACGTCATGCCACTGTCATTAAGGGTTATAAAGGCTGTATATTACTGTCTAGTGACAGTTGTAAACAGGGTGACGGCACTTAAAACAGGCTATTGAAAACGCCTAATTTGCCTGGAACTGATATTAATAAGATTATAATTTGAATCATGGTTCTATTATAATTTTGTTCTTCATTAAACTATGAATGAAGTTAATAAATCATCCTGTTATTCTGTTTCATTAAGATGACAAGATTATGAAGAGCCTGTAATTCACTTTTAAATGTTACAAATACACAGTTAGATAGCTAGTTTAAAAACACAAGGGTTTATAAGCCACAATAGAGTGCAGCGTTCATACACACAGTATAAGAAAAACTAGCTGAACTGTTCTAGTTATTATGCACAATTTACTTGAAACTGCTGAAGCCGACAATTATTAGCCAACCTATTCAGACTGCCTACATAAGCCAACCTATTCAGATGGCCTACATAAGCCAACCTATTCAGACTGCCCTACATACACCAGCTTAGAAAAAAAACCTTGTCTGTAATAGGGAACAAGCCAGTTCTTTCTAAACTGGTTTATATGTGCCACACATTTGCTTCAAAGTTAACTTAACTGATTGGTTGTTAAAGGGTTAAAAACTCATTTAATCTGACACAGAAAATGCAGTTCAGTCCAGCAAGGCGTGTGTTGATGTTTCCAAGAAAAGGGATTTCAAGAATTGCGAATTTAAAAAACACGTTCTGTACATGCATGATTGGTACATAGTCAGCAGTGAACAGATTCCAAAAAGATGGAGATAATACTGTAATAAATAATTTGAAGGGCGTATTAAATTGTAGACGTTAAGAAAAGTAAAGTGGTCTGATTCCTGGTGTTTATGTTATAAATATAGTTTAAGGCATTATGGATTGTGATATTATCTACTAGTCTACTGTGTTATAATATGTGATTGTCTATCTTTATAAGATGTATAGTCTACTGTAGTTTATTTTAAATAAAAAAACATTATTAATATTTATATCACAAGGATCATTGTTTTATTTATTAAAGGAACAATCTCAAATAAACTGTCTCCATTTCACATATTGGTGAATAAAACTGGTTACGTCTGTGTTGAAAGCGGTCAGTAACCTCTAACCATCTTAAATTTAAATTACATATTGTTATTAAGGATAAGGAGGGTGAGGGGTGGGGGGGATATCATTGATCATTCATCATTTGGGTGGTTAAATTTATTTTTCACTAGATAAACTTGCATAAAACCAAATTGATGTAAACAATGCTGTTTTGGGGTGTAAACAGACCTCTTTATTATCCAAATAGCACCTGAATAATAATGTAGAATATCAAAATAGTTAAATTATCTGTGTGACCATTAGTTTTCATTTAGACACTACATTTGTGCCTGGATAGAACATGTCTACAAGGCATCAGGTCACACAAATGCGGATGATTCCTTATTTGAGTTAGGAATCGGGTCCAGGGTGCGATCCTGATGGTGGGCACAACAGTTCCTCGTGATTTTCATCCTGGTCTGATCTTGTCAGTTGTGCAGGATGGAAGGAAAAAGGTTTAGTCATTCCGATAAGAATAACCAAGGTACTATGATGAGGTTTAACCGTTAACTTCCTACTTTTCTGTATCCAACTGGTGATAAAAAGTAGGGTGTTAAACCACATTTTGTTTATCTGAGTTACTAAGCCTGTTTAAACAATTTTGACAATCATTATAATGGCTTAACATTTTAAACTGAATCTGTTAGAAATAAAAATCAGGAGATTTCTTTAAATGCTGACATTTGATTTGCCTATTTATAGCCACATACGCCAATGCATTATATGTTTTTAAACTCTTTGACAGCTGCTTTAAAAACCTTCAGGCAAGACTAGAAAATATCCTGAGTATCTCCTAGAAAATCTCAAATAACCAGACAGAATTTACAAAAGGAAGGAAATTAAAACGCAAATGTGGAGGCTTTTTAACTGTTATTATACGTCTCGTTTAGTCTCATTTGCAACAAAAGGTAAACTAAAAATTTCTACTTTTTGGGACGAAATGAAGACGTACATTGTATAACTTTCTCACAAAAAGTTATTGAGAAGATTCAAACTCCTTGTAGAGGACATAAAAAATGTCTGATTACACAGAGAAGATTATGTCTGATCTCCTATGGCTTGCTATGTGTTTTATAATTCCACGGAAACAGTAAAATGGTAAATGACACTAGTTTAGTTTTGATGCTAGAGCAGCAGATCCAGAAGGAGAGTGATGTTTGCAAACCCCATTGTTCTTACATCCTCAGTTACTATTAGTATTAAAAGTGTTTATTAGGCACACTCTCTTTTTACAGGGCATCCCTCAATTTTTATTGTGCGCCCTTCTATTTTCATTGTCTACCCATAAATTTTTAATGTTCACCCCTCTATTTTCATTGTTTACCCATCAGCTTTTAGTGCGTGCCCCTCTATTTCTATTGTTTACCCCTCTATTTTTATTGTATACACCTCTCTCTTTAGTGTGCACTCCCCTCTAAACACCCTTCTCTTTTCACTGGGCACTCCCCTCTCTCTCTCTCTCTTCAGTGTGGCCACTTATCTCTTACACAATATAAACTTCTGAAACATCTACCAGTACAACCCAATATAAACTGATGCTGGCCTTGAGTAGCTGTGTGCACTCCCTCAAGCCTTACAGTTTAAAAATGTTACTATAACACCTACTACTAGTTACTTGTCATAACAGCTGCTACAAATACATTTTAATTTAAAAACTAATCAAATCTGGTTCTGAACAAACCCAAAACTTTAATCTCAATAAAGTGATTAAATGCAGTTTCTCAGACAGTAAAATGACTACAGTTTCTGTAAACAAACTATATTCACCAGGTTTTTAAATTTTAACCCTTTTTTTGTCCGTTCGTTTTATCTTATAAAGTAATTACCGGTATATAACTGTATCAAATTTTCTTTGATATCTCAAATTTGTATCCTAGGATAGATACACTATTTAGAGAGGAGCTGTGGTGGCTCAGTGAGTAAGATGTTGGCTTGCTTACCGGGTATAGTCCCATGTTCAATCCTGGTGTTGGCAGAAAAAGTTCATCAGGATTGGCGTGTACATAAACGATCCCTTGGAAGTTGGAAGTAGCGCAGCTGTTCGAGCAAAATTTCCCTCATAGCACACTGTATGGTTTATGCCTGTCTTCATTAGCCCAGCCGAAGCAGGACAGTAGGATGTTAAACCCCATTAAATTTTTTTCCACTATGACCAACTTACATTGGTCCTGCGATTGGTCCTAATAGCCATAATTCTCTGTATTCATTTGTTAAACTAGAGCAGTGATGTTTAATATTCATCTATTATAGAGTGATGTTTCTTGAGATTTCAGTTTAAGAATAGGAAATGAAATGAAATTAGGTTTAACGTCCTACTGTTCTGCTGCGACTGGGTTAATGAAGACGCGCATATGCCATACAGTGTGCTATGAGGGAAATTTTGCCCTCCATCCTGCTCCACTGACAAGGTGGAACCACGCCAGAAAAATCCTGATGAACTTTCTCGGCCAATGCAGGGATTGAACACGGGATCTCCAGGTTAGTGAACCAACATCTTACTTACTGAGCCACTGTGGCACCCTTTAATAATATGAGTTGAAATATATACTGTTATGTTAATTTGATGTTCAGTATTGTCTGTGTTTTGTTTCATGCAGTTTGAAGATTACCTGTAAATCAATATTTCTTTTCATTTTGAGTGAAGCATGTATTATTACAGGTCTGGGACACTTACTGCTAACCTTTGGATCCATTTACTTGATTTGATAGTTGTTGTTTATTTCTTGCAATGTCCTGCACTTTTATTGTAAGATATTCAGACAGAATTTTCACTAATAGAAATCTGGTTATCACATACACCTTATTTATTACTAGTACTACATATCAACATCCTCCTTAATTTATTTTATTGACACCTAGTCCCAGTCTTTGGAGCTGAGAGAGAGAGAGAGAGAGAGAGAGAGAGTTTAATGTCCAATCAACACAATCTAGGTCATATCTGGACATATGGTTCAATTTTATTTAATTTACTTGCGTGTA